TTTAGCCGCCCAAGCCAGCATCTGATACCATCAGTTGTTAATGGTAACTACCCTTCACTTTTTGGGCTTCCTGTTTATGCATGAGTAATCCAATGCCCTGGTTTCCAGGTATAGATATTCTGGTGTCTCTTATTCGATTCAAGTTTGATGAGTGCAGGATATCCTATAATATGTCTTATTGGATGGAGGCTTAAATCAAATGGCCTAATTTCTTTGCAAGTTATGAAGGAGTTCCTTAGGCAGGTATGGATTTAAGGGGGCGGTCTGGACTTTCAAAATTTTCTACAATATATGTAATATTTTCCTAAAATTTTCATACTTTGATTAGATTCGTCCCACTTAACTTTTAGTTTTCAAAATTGATTTATAGTCTTACATAATGTAATACTTACTTGAAGATTTAAAAGAAGAAACACCTAAGATAATTTACATAACTTAAATAAATAAACAATAGAAAAACTCATTGTTTAAGATTTATTACTTAATATTCACCAATATCAAAGATTGGTGGGAAGGTTGATTTATCTGGCACATACAAGGCCAGATATTGCCTTTGCAGTCAGTATGGTTAGTCAATTCATGCATAATCCATTCCAGGAACATCTAGATGCTACCTACAGAATCCTAAGATATTTGAAAAGCTGTCCAGGGAAAGGATAATTTTTTAAAAGAAGTGACAATAGAAGTGTAGAAGCTTTTACAGATGCAGATTATGCTGGTTCAATCACTGATAGAAGGTCTACATCTGGGTATTGTACCTATGTATGGGGGAATCTAGTGACTTGGAGGAGTAAGAAGCAGAATGTGGTTGCTAGAAGTAGTGCAGAATCTGAATTCAGATCTATGGCTAATGGAATCTGTGAACTACTTTGGATTAAGAGAATGATGTCAGAGTTGAATATGGAAATGGAACTACCTATGAAGTTATATTGTGACAATAAAGCAACCATTAATATTGCTCACAATCCTGTGCTACATGATCGTACTAAACACATTGAAGTGGACAGACATTTTATCAAAGAGAAGATTGAAGCTGGAATTGTGTGCACACCATTCATATCTACCAAAGAACAAACGGCTGGTATCTTTACAAAGGGGCTGTTTAAACCAGTGTTTGAATTTCTCATAAGCAAGTTGGGAATGTATGATATATACTTACCAACTTGAGGGGGAGTGTAGAAAAATGTAGCATATACATGTTATTTTTATTATTTGTACATCCGGGACTGTATAGATAAGAATTAGAGTAGATAGAGTTCTCTAATTCTTAGATTAGCTCGCAGAATAGATAGAATAGATAGATCCTACTTTTTAGGATCTATAACAACTTAACTTTATCTGTAAACTTGTATATATATCATTGCCGGATGGCTCAATAAAATACAAGGAAGATTAATTCTTCAAACTTACAAATACCGGAAACACTAGTCACACAGTTTACAAACGATTTGAAGTGAGTCCAAAATATAAATATTTATTGACATTAAATTACACAATTCATTTACTTCTTACGTTCTAAAAAACTTTATTGCATAGATAATAAACTTTAACTTAGTTTAGCATTAATACAAATATAATATGCACTATATATATGAATTACCAATATAATATTATTCTAAAAAGAATAACCTCATACATACTATTATAATATTAAGAAAAGTCCTCGTGACTCATGAACACCCTCCTTGGTAGACAAAAATTGTAATTTAAAAACACGTTCTTTATTTTTTATAAGATTCCTGTATTTATACAATGTAGAAGTTGTTTTAAAAGTATTGGTGAATGTGTTCTTTATAAACTATTTATCTTCAAATAAAACGTTATATATTCTTTTTATTTTCAAATTATTATCCTTTTATTTGTCCTTTCTTACGATTTAATGTATCAATACTTTTTTTCTAGAGCTCTTCAAATATAAAATCAAAGATATAGATTTAAATGTCGACGTGTATGTATTAATGAAATATTTTGAATAAAAATAACCGCAGAGCCTCACAGTGGTGAAAAAATTCAGCCCGCTACACTAGCAAAAAAAGTTCACCCCACCACACCATTGAAAAAAAATGACCCGCTACTCTAACAAAATTTTTTGCCCCCCTTGACTCGAAATCCTGGATCCATCTCTGTCCTTAGGCCAGAGCTCCTGATTGGCTTTAAGGAAAATGTTGGCATCACTGTATTCCTACTAAATGTATTAGTTTTTATTTGGAGAGCAATAAAAAAAACTCCAATTGGATGAGTTCCAAATAAGTATTGAGATATAGTTTGCATCCAAACGTCTTTGCTATAAACATCCTACAAAAGAAATTGTTAAACATGTTTTTAATGGGGATCTGGCTAAAAGCACTTGGGATGACTATGCTAAGATTGTGAATATTAATTCCATTCTATGTCATTCATTCTTGTTTTTGCTACTATTCTGATTACAAGTTCTGTTTTTGCCAGGTGATGAATCAAATTGTATTACAAACATGTGTCTACTTTAATTTGAGGGATTTTTTTTAAGCATGCTAGGTGTTGTTAATATGCCTAATTAAGAATTTGTGTTAGGTTTGAGTGCATGCATATGAACTTAATTTGGAAAAGCAAAATACAATTCTTTGTAGCACACTAGGTGTTTGTAGATATGCCTAACTGAGATTCTAGACTATTTTTGTACTTCCTATACGAGAATCGGGGACAAATAATTCATCTAAAAGCAAAAAAAGCTGAACAGGACAAATGTAAGATCCGAGGTAGTTACTCCTGACCTCTAGTACTGTCCTCACAAAACACCACGAGCCTTTACCACGCACTTTGTGCTCACTCATGTGTGCCCTGAGAAACTTCCCAGAGAGTCACCCATCCAAGACTACTCCCGTGCAAGCACGCTTAACTTTGGAGTTTTTAGCCGATGAGCTTCCTTAAAAGGAGATACACCTCTATTTGTATGAGTAGTACTATTAATCCTTTTTAAATTAATCTCAAGTGTTACAACGAATGCTACATTTTTCTAGATTGAGAATAACTAACACTCCAACTTATCAAATCATAGAATCTTTAAAAACTAATAGTAAAAACTAGGAGAAAAATATATTATATGAGTTAGAATAACTAAATCATTTCTTTATTTGAAAAATTGGTAAATTTTTCAAGTCTTTTCTGAAATTAGTCTTATCCTAGATAATAATCAATTAAAATATTAACTCCTTCCTAAACAAGTGTACATATGGTGTTAAAGGTTTTGTCCAAATTATGTTTCACCATCCTTTTTTGTACTTTAAGGTAAAAATACAAAATTTATCAATGGAGGTTTGTTTCATAGTTTGTTTTTCTAAATTTTATAGCAGAAAAGCAATACCAATTTCTGTAATACACATACCTTCATTACAAACTACGAGAATGTATTTTTATTTCAAACATAGATCTTCCCGGTGCTTTCAAATTGCATTTCATTCCACTTATAAAAAATGTGCTCAAATAAAGCAATGCATTATAACGTGCCGATCTTAATTATACCGTGCATCAATTTTAGTATCTTATATTGTGTGTGAGCTTTTTTACCTTTCCGGATTTTTCAGAATTAATGGAAGTATAAAGTACCAATTTTTATCCCACACTGCCACACGAGCAACATCAAACAAGATAAAAATAAGTTATGATCTCTTGAACTGTTTTTTTTTATTTAGGGAACAATAAAATTATCTGTGAGAAAGTAGAACTGAAGGGCGTATTATTTGGTTGCTAGAAGTTTTTTAAGTAATTGCCATGTAATTCTTTTTTGTATAATATTTTAAGTAAAATTCCTCTGAAACTAATTAAAGCTCAAAAACATTTTATGGACAAAGAAAGTTTTAGAATTTCCTTACTTTCCTTATAGACTAAATAACATTTAAGAGATATCTCCAGCCTCCCAGTGTATGCATATCAAAGGTTGTTTTAGAATTTAAAACCTAATTGTTTAGAGGGTTAGGGCCCATATTAGGAGAGCAAATTTGTTAAGGTTTTCCAAAAATTTGTAACTTGAATTATCTTTTAACACCTAAGATAACCTGACCTATTCTGGTGTTAGATCTTATATTAATTTCTGTGGTTTATTTATTTGTTTTAACTACTCTCTCTTTTATTTCTTTCAGTTATACTCTCATTTATTTAATGTGATTATGTTTGCTTGTTCTTTAACCTAACATAATGAGGTAGGGGTCAATCTGACCCGTAACTTGGCGCCGGAGACATGCCAGTTGCAGGGTCCATAAAACCTCTCCCAGTACGAAACCTGAGCCTTAATACTATTGTTCACTAATTCACTTAAAATGTACCAGACATGTTTTTCCATTACTTTCTCCCATTTGGTTGTAGTTTTCCCAATGTTCGAACCTTTATTGTTAGTATTCGACAACTTACGATAATAATATATGTTATAATGATGACTATGGTGTTGATGATGACATGCAACCCTCTTTCTTTTATATTTTGATATCCCGGATTCTCAAGCCTGTTTGATCGTTAACACTTAACAGATGATTCTAGGTTGTATTATTTTGTACTTGATATTGGAGCTTTTTGGAACTTGTGAAGAGTGAAGACGAGTTAATTTTTTAGAGTATGTATGTGGAACCATTTATTTATGCTTGATTATTTAATTTTCATATAATTAAATTTTCAAATAATTATATAGTCGCTTTTCTTAACTAAATATTTATTTGTAAAGTACTTGATAAAGTTATTTGAAGTTATATGTGAATTTGTTGAGGAATTAAGGAAAAAGTTATTTGAGATTCTTTTGAGAAGCTATTGGATTTCTTGAGAAGCTATTTGTTGATATGTTTATGGCCTAACCTGATGCATAGTTTAGTAAGACTTGTTAAATGTTTCATTTGATTTAGTGACTAACTAAGCATAATGCTTGCTTTCCCTTTTACTCTGAGAAGGGCTATACATTACTCTATTTCATCATTGTAACTCAATTCAGACCACAAAGTCAACTAATTTGTGTTTGGTGAAAAATTCTTGCCTTTAAGGAGTAGGAATAGTGAAAAACACTTTGGACAATTTGGATTACCATATGTGGGTGTGGATAGTTGCATAAACAAGAGAGACTAACACGCTGTTGCTGTCAAAGAGAGAGAATTCGAGAATGGCGTCTCACCTATCCTTTCCTACAATATCAGTTCTTAACTCGAACTCCAATAATTATTCATCTGCGAAAAATAGTGAGTATTTCTGCCCTAGACATTGCGGGATTATTATATATTTATAAGCACCAATTTGTTTATATTTTTTCAATTAATGAATATTATATTGTTACACTTTTGGAGAGATAGATTCCCTCTGAGTTATTATTGCTATAAATCTGGGCAGCTAATTACAAATCAGTGAGATGCAGCTTGGATGAGGAGGGTAGTCCTTCAGATTTTTCAGGCCACACAGAACAACCCGCCAGAAAAAAGGTTGTCTATCTATGAGAATAATTAATCTGATTTATTACTTGGTTTTCTACTTCAAACACTTTTGAAACATTCATGGTTAGGAATATGTGCGCTTATATTAACTATCCCTCAAGAAGGTTGTTGGAGGCTTCCTTCTCCTAAATACAGTGCTGTGTAATTAACAAATGAAATGAAATTTCCTTTTTTATATTAAATATTACAATAATGGTTAAGGACATAGTTGAATATTAAGTACTCTACCTAGTTATATGCGGTATCAGTTTCTATGTATTTCAATGGCAATCAACTTCAGTCATTCCTAATCACATGGGAAGAAAGAGGAAACCGTGTCAAAACTGTCCATAATGTTTCTTATGACCTACTTCAATGAGGCTCAGAATATTAAATTCAATTTATTTATGTTCTCTCTCTTGAAATTTTATCCAGGAGCTTCAAAAGCCAACTTCACGACGTCTATGTTTAACAGGCCTCTGTTTAACTGTCACTTTGATGAGTGGACATACCAGTCCTTTATCTGACCTTAGAGCAATTGCCGCAGATAAAAAAGCGCAAGAGGTGTGCAGGAATTGTTTGGGTAGTGGTGCAATAATCTGTAAGTACAACACAGGGGTTAATTTCTTTACAACAATGTTGTGCTTCAAAAGAGACGTGGTTCATGTTGTGCACATGAGGCATTGAACGAATGCTATTTTTTGCAACACTACATAAGCAATTTATGTACTATGCCGTCCATGAAAAGATTCACGATTGACCACATGCAACATTTAAAGTTTGGTGAAATGTAACTGCTATAAATCAATAACTCTCTACCTATAATATACTTCGTAACATTTTATTCTTTGGTTTAACTAAATGTATCAAATGTAAATTGTTTGTGACAATAATTTTGGAAAATTACATGAAAAGTTGACTTCTTTTGATCGAACACGACTTTATAATATTTTTGAACAAGTAAAGTTGAAATGTGACTCTGTTTTTGGAGACGAAAGGAGTATAAATTAATTTGTACCTTTTGGAGGTGTCGCATTGTGCTTGATAAGTTGGGGGATTACTTCTATTTAGGTGATATGTGTGGTGGTACGGGGAAATGGAAAGCTCTAAATCGAAAGAGAGCCAAGGATGTATATGAATTTACTGAATGTCCAAATTGTTATGGTATGCTATGTCTGCTCATGCATATAAATATGTTGGCAATTATTCTGCCAAGCTTACATTTCTTACATTTAGTGTGATCTTTTGTGTGTGCACTTGGAGCAGGACGTGGAAAACTTGTATGCCCTGTGTGTTTGGGGACTGGTCTGCCAAACAGCAAAGGTCTTCTGAGGCGGCGAGACGCGCGGGAGTTGCTTGACAAGATGTATAACGGCCGCCTATTACCCAACTCTTAAGCAGGTATGATGTGGTTGGTGTTCCATAATATTCATCAATTCTGTTTTAGTTAACTTAAAACTTCAATAACGTTTTTCTTCTATTTTCTTTGGGTTAACTGCATTCTCATGACAAGATGGAAAAGTGAAGGAGTGGAACTTCAGCCTGGTTCATGTTCTTGAAAATGCCCTCCTCATAACAACAAGCAAAATTGCACTGACCCAGGCAGCAAATCTGCATTGCACCACACTATGTAAATTGCGTTGTAATTTTAATACCAGCTACACTCACTCACAGGGTCAATTGAGTAAACTGATTGCAATGTTTATGATCCATAGAAATGAATTAGTGTTGATCAAAGTTTGGTGTGAATGTTGGACAACAAACTGGATATTGTACCTAGAGATTGTACCCGCTAAAATTCATGTCTCATCAATTTATTATATTAGAATTAAAATTTGACAAATAGGACCCTTGGTGATGTTAAATTTCTGATCAGTCTGAGATTGTTTTGGAGAAAACTCAACATTTCAGTGAAGGGTGGTGGTGTTTTAGTTGAGTTTCACCTCTCACATGTTTTTTCTCATGATCTCTAAACCAAAGTTTACAAACTGCTGCATCTGTAATAGCCTACATGTGCCCCTCTTAGAGGGAATCAGGGAAAGGGAACAACTGATAGTAATCTATTCCGTTATGCTGTCTTATTGCTGTCAAACACAACTGATAATATTTGTGTGTGTGTGTGTGTATCTTCTCTTGGAAATGTACCATCAAAGATTATAAATATATTAAACAAAGTCCAAGACTCCCTCGGATCATCTCATTACAGGCGCATTTGCTTTGGATTCACTTAGTGTTCCCTACATTAATGTTGACCCGGGGTAAGGTTTATGTCCCCCCCATTTGTAAATTTATTTTCAATTTCTAATAAAATATGGTCTGTGTTAAAAAAAATGAAAACAATTAAAATGATTTTCTACAAAAACTTTAGTAAATTCATTCAGAAAAGTAATTTAGCATTATTTATTTTGATTATTATACAATTCAGCGTGTAAAATTAAAAGTCACCAAACGAGCTCTTAATTTTTTTAACTTTTATTACTTTTTGTGTGATTATGTAAATAACCTCTTACGCTGTTTAGATTTATGATTTATGTAATTAACTTAACGCAACTCTTGTTTAAACATGAGTTTCCCATTAAATTAATAAATTCTGTATATCAAAATCCTTATTCATAAAAAATTTAAGAGCATTCATATGTTTAATTTTCGGAGGGAAGCTAGTATTGAAGTCATTCAATGTATGCAGTCCGCAAATGTAATAACTCACAAGTTAGGTAGAGCCGATTTCTTTATTGAATGATCTAGTTCTTTTAACCTTTTAATTTTCCTCCTATATTGTAAATCAGTTTGAGAGCGATAAATTACACCAATAATATGCTAGTATTCCTCTCAAAAAATCAAGTACTCCCTCCCGTTCACATTGATCTTTATAGTTTGACTTCACAAATATTAAGGAAATAAGTTTGACTTTACTATATCTTATATTGTTTGACACTGTTTGACGAGTAGATTTTTAAGGCAAATAAGGAAGTGTAAAGTCTATTGTGATACTGACAAAAAAGGAAAGTGTAAAGATGATCATGAATAGGAGGAAGTATTAAAAGAAACTCACTTCATAGACCCCTTAATTCTTTGAATATTAATTTAATTTATGCTTTCTAATCCAATAATCCGAATATAGGCCCCCACACTAATATTTTTAACCTCGTTAATCGTGAAAGAACCACCGCCGGTATTGAGTATTGACAACCGATTTCAAGTAGTCTTCAACTTCATGACGGATTGGCATTGCACAGCTTCGTCCCCAATCCCTCATCACTAAATTCAGAGGAAACTATGGGGTTCGGAGCCATAAGATCCATTTCCCGACCCGTTTCCAGAGCACTCTTCTTCTCTCACCGGAACATCTACTCTTTTTCGTCCATAACATCGCCTGCCACCTTATTATCTTCTTTGTCGCCTGAGATCCGGCTACCATTTCGTCCTAAGCTACCTTGGATTCCGCCGTCCAACGCCTTCCACAGCTTAACGGACACCCGGTACCCGAAGAGGAGACCCCTTCTAAAGACCAAGCGCAAAAGACCAGCCCCAGAACCACCAGGTCTCTTTTCATTTTATCGTTCATTGACTTCTCTAGCGAGTACCAATGTAGTTAGGGTTGTAAGGATTTCATATGTATCTATGGTGATTCTTCTCGCATTTGAGATTGAAAAGTTTGCGGCTTTAAGTTACACTATTATAAGCATGTAGATATACTGTTGAAGGAAGGCAGTAGACATTAAGGAAGTGATCAGCCCTTTGTGATTTGTACATTGCGAGCTGTTGTGTGGTGGCATTTAAATACTTAAACCTGGAACTTTTCACTCAAGAAAATTTACGGATTTGGCTACTATTGAAGCCGTGCTGCACACTCTGGTCCTAGTTATTGGATGATATGAATGAAGAGCTGTTTGATGAGATCTGGTGATCGTAGGATTATATGAATAGCTAGTTCAACACTTCAACTTCTTGCCCTAGTCAGGAAGAATGTGAAGGGTTCCAGCAAATCTTAGAACAAAATTATTACTCCACAGATCATTATTTTATTCCAACTAAAAGCCTTACATAGACAAAGAGAAGTCTTGAATTAAAAATGGGAAAGAAACCTAAACAATTACCGAGTACACTTTACAAACTCATAATAACATAAGGAAAATTGGCAAATTAAATTGGCCCCTAAACATTTACTTCATAAGAAAATAAAGTACCTATAGTTTGAGTGTTTATTACTGGAATGTAGGGCCCTATTCTGGCGTTGCCAGGCGTTTGCCTCATGATCCAAAACCCCAAAAGCACCCTAATGAAGGAAGTGTCAAAAGAAGGAATGAGAAGAAGAGAATCAAGCAGCGCAAGGCTTTTATTTTGGTATGTTCTTATTAGTTATATCAATTCCTTTTTCCTGATCTCATGATTTAGCATGGTGCATTCTCTTGACATTTTGTCTGTTAGGGAGTTTTGAACTTGGAAAATATTCAGCCATTAGGGGATTTTTGGAAGGAAAATAGATTATAATTTCGTAAGGAAATTTTAGAATTGTTTCAAACTATTTTTATAAATATGCCTATTATATGAAAACTAAGAGATCAAAATATATGTGAAATCATAGAAATTTTAATCAATTGCGATTATCATTTGGGTTTTACAAGGTAAACTGAACATAATAATCAATTTGTTGAGAATATTTTATCCTTTCCCTAGTATTATTTGTGTTCCAAAATTAGCTATAGGATGTGTGCTAAAGTAGTAACCCCCATCCCAAACATATACACTTCACAAAATGTGGGTTTAGGTGTTATATTTGTAATATATACGGAGTATTTAGTTCTGCTTTTGGCGGCTGGTTGTTGAAATGGTAGTGGATGAACTCTCCAATATATGTAGGCAATCCTGAGTGGTTTTGTACATACAGTAATTCTTATTATTGCATCGTTTAGAACTGAAGTTTTCTTTCGAATTTACTTTTATTATGTGTTGTCTTAATGAACTACATAAGTATATAAGTCAAAATTGAAAAGGGAGAAACACAGTGCTTTCAGCGATGCCGTGCTTTTATGTGCAGCTTCAGCTTGTTTAGACACGAGAGATGTACAACTAAAGTAGTGACCATATAATACGGGGATTGGTCCAACTTTGAGGGTCTGTTTGGAATCCATAAAGTACCAGGGGAAGAACATAGGGGGAATATAGAGGGAAAATGAGGATAGTAAAGGACAGCCTCATAGGCTCAGTCTCGGTAATTTAATTTTAGTAGGCCTGACCCTGTTCAACATTATATATGAGGCCTGGAATAATTTGTCATTAGTCTATAACAAATTAAGCTAACACAACTGGAAATTTTGGATGCGGGATCTACTCCACAAGGAGCAGTAGGGACCGATTAAGCTTAGCCTTTACCTGGGCACCTTGCCAAGCAGCTATTGAGTTGTCGTAAGAGAGATTCTATACGCATACGTGAAAGAACAAGCAAGTCCTCGGATAAACGTATTTCTTGTCTATCTACTTAATCATACGGGTAGTCCAAAGTGAGAATGCTGACACAAGTAATGAAAAATCCTGTGAAAAACCGGAAATAAAGACAAACCGGGCCCATCCCTTTTCGGAAAAAGTGACACATCACAGACCTAATCATCACTCCGGGTGGGAAGAAAGTCGTTGCTCTCAGAACTGAGAAATGAAAATGACAAGAGACAGTCAATCAAATGAAAAGCATCTCATCAGGAAAATAAAGACAATGAAATGAAAATTCAAGGTGCCAGCATTAATTTACTCTTCATTTCTTTGTTGCGTCTTATTTTTACGTACCTAGATTGATACAGAGTATTTTCTAATTCTAAAATACATACTAAAATGGAAAATATAACAAACAGTAATATCACAAAGGAGTGAAACCACCGAATGATAGTGTTGACTGGGCATTTGGACTTAGGGAAGCTATGGTGGCAGACAGGCGGTATAGGCTGGACAGGTGGACAGTGACTAACTGATTGCGAATTAGTTGATTACCACAAGTCAAGAGGCTGGGGAGCTGATTCCTGAAGCTTGGAGTCTGGGATTGAACGTATGAACTCATTGAAGTGAACTCATTGAAGCTTGTGAGTTCTACGAATATGGTTAGATAGTGATTAGAAGTTGGGCCTGAATCTTGGATTACATAGTGATTAGATGAATACGTGAAAGCTTGATAGAGATCCCACTGGATGATTTTTTCAACAGTAGAGAAACATTAGAACTCCATTCATCTGAACTCGACGAACGTAGCAATGCTCAAAGCTCTATATTAGTCTGGTTCCAGTGTTTAATAAGCTCATTAGGTGCTTTAGAGTTCTGATTTCGAAAAAGGCGTCACTAACAAGGGGATGATTGTATACAGCGATAAATGCTACTACGTATAAGATGAACGATTCCTTGGCATTCTCTGAAGAAACACAGACAGAGTGCTGTTATGAACCGAAAATGAACAATCAACGGAAGAAACTGTTGCCTAGCTGACCAGGTACTTCAAAAATCAAAATGCCCAGGTGTTTGCAAACTCAATCGGGCTCCCCGTTTAAAAAATCACACAACCCGACCGAGTTGGTCTAAAACCCGACCGGGTTACGGGATTTTTCTGAAAACCAGACTTACTAATACACAACTCGATCGGGTTGTCCTAAAACCCGACCAGGTTAGCGGCAAAACCAGAACATTAAACCTGGTCAGGCAGGTTGAAAAATCCATTCTCTCATCTTCCAAACCCATGACCAGAGAGCTAAAAACCCCCTCTCCTACCATCTTTTTCACTAAAACTCCATCAAAACTCCATTTAACTCCACCATATCATCCCAAAACCTCCTCTTTCTTCATCCCCTCACTCTCCTTTACACCCCCATAATCTTTAATCCACAATTCATTATTATATTTCATATACTTGATATAAAATGCTATACAAGAAGCTATATTTATAGCTTTTTTTTAGAGCACTAGGGTTCCATATACAAACATATACAAAATGGGCTAAGCCCAACTCTACTAGGGTTTCCACACTCCCCTCAAGCTGGAGCATATAAATCATATGTACCAAGCTTGTTACAAATATATCCCACTCTAGGACCTCTAAGAGACTTAGTTAGAATATCTGCAAGTTGTTCTGTTGTGTTGACATAATTTGTGATGTTATGTCCGCTCGCGATCTTCTCTCGGATAAAATGGCAATCAACTTCAATATGCTTAGTCCTCTCATGATAAACTGGATTTGATGCAATGTGCATTGCGGCTTGGTTGTCACACATGAGTCAGACTGGTTTTGTGTTTCCATATTTTAACTCTCGGAGAAGATGCTTCAACCATAAGATTTCACATGTCGCAAGGGCCATTGCACGATATTCTACTTCAGCACTAGATCTGTCAACCACATCCTGTTTCTTACTTTTCCGTGAGATTAAGTTTCCACCGATCAAGATGCAATATCCCGAAGTGGAACGTCTATCCATCGTACATCCGGCCCAGTCTGCATCACAGTATCCTACAATATCATGGTGGTCTCGGTCTTCGAACAACAATCCTTGCCCATGTGTTTTCTTGATGTATCTCAAAACTCGAATAACTACATCCCAATGTCCACTACATGGCTTATCAAGAAAGTGACTAAGGACACTTACCGTAAATGAAAGATCTGGCCTCGTGATGGTAAGATAATTCAATTTGCCAATCAGCCTTCTATACTTTTCCCTGTTGGGCAAAAGATCTCCCTGTCCTGACAAGAGTTTGACGTTTGGATCCATAGGTGTATCCACTTGCCTGCACTCTAGCATACCTGTTTGCTCAAGAATATCCAATGCATATTTTCTTTGTGAAATGGCAATTTCATTTTGAGACTGTGCGACCTCAATGCCAAGAAAGTATTTCAACTTTCCCAAGTCTTTTGTTTGGAATTTGCTAAAGAGATATTGCTTCAGGAGTGCAATTCCTTGTTCATCGCTACCTGTAATGACAATGTCATCAACATATACAACAAGATAAATACATTTGTTGCCTGCAGAATGTCTATAAAATATAGAATGGTTGACATCACTGCGAATCATGCCAAAATTGCAGATAACGACCCTAAACCTCCCAAACCATGCACGTGGTGAGTGCTTCAAGCCATATAAAGCACAGCGTAATCTGCATACCAAACCAGACCCCCCCGAGCAACAAAACCAGGTGGTTGCTCCATATAAACCTCCTCGTGCAGATTACCATGAAGAAATGCATTTTTAATATCCAATTGGAATAATGGCCAGTGGCTCATTGTTGCCATGGATAAAATCAAACGAATCGATGCAATCTTCGCTACAGGAGAAAAAGTGTCAGTGTAATCCAAACCATAAATCTGAGTATATACCCTTTTGCCACAAGACGTGCTTTAAAACGATCAACTTGCCCATCAGGACCAACTTTAACGGTGTAGATCCACCGACACCCAACTACTGTTTTGCCAGGGGGATGGGGAACTAATTCCCACGTCCCACTAGAATGAAGAACCTCCATCTCAGCCAACGCGACTTTACGCCATTCCGGACATGCCAATACCTCATGTGTTGTTTTAGGGATGGGTATATGAGACAAGTGTGAAATGAAAGCAAAGTAAGGGGTAGAGAGGCAGTGGTAACTCAAAAAGTTATATATGGGATGTGGATTCAAAGTAGAACGTGTACCTTTTCGGAGGGCAATGGGCAAATCATCTGGCGTGTTTTCAGGTGGTGCGGTAGTTGATGGTGATGATGCAGGAACCGTCCTAGGGGAATCAACTGGCGTGGCCACGATAGGTTCAATGGGAGGAGGTCGAGGACGACGATGGTATACTTGTAATGGAGGAGGGTCTACCACAGGAGAGCAGTGGGGGTGGTCATCTGATGGAGGGGAAATAACAGTTTCTGGATGGATGGGACGGAGATATGAGATGAAGTCCAAACATGATGGAGTATCAGCAACAAATAATGGGTAATAAAAGGAGGACTCGATAAAAGTGACATCAGCCGAAATAAAATGCTTCTTAAGTAATGGAGAATAACAACGATAACCCTTTTGGACTCGTGAATACCCAAGAAAAATGCATTTTATTGACCTAGCTGACATTTTAGATAATCCAGGTGCAGAATCATGGACAAAACACACACCCAAACACATGAGGTGGTAATGGAAATAACTCACGAGTAGGAAACAAGACAGAATGAGGAATTTCATTATGAATAACTGAGGAAGGCATTCTATTTATTAAATAACACGCAATGAGTACAGTGTCTGCCGAACACTGAGGTGGTGTATGTGAATATAATAACAGAGTACAGGCAGTATCAACTAAGTATCAATTAAGTGTCTGTTCTTGCGTTCAACCACCCCATTTTGTTGAGGCGTGTGTACACAAGAAGACTGGTAAAGCATACTCCGTGATGTCATGAAGTGATTAAAGGGTGCCGCAAAAAATTCTTTAGCATTATCACTGCGTAAAATTTTGATAGAATGACCAAACTGAGTGTGAATTTCGGCACACGAAAGATATGGAATAATTCAAAACGTTCTTTCATTAAAAACAACCATGTGTAACGGGAAAAGTCGTCCACAAAAATAACAAAATAGTGAAATCCTAAAGTAGAAGTGACTCGATACGAACCCCATACATCTCATTTTCATTTTCATTTACCCCAGTGCCGCAAAGGCTCCCACCTACGGTGGGGTAAGGGGGAGGGTCGGATGTACGCAGTCTTACCCTTGTACTAAAGCACAGAGAGACTGTTTCCGGATGACCCATAGTGAAAATCGTGTCCAAAATTGCATGGACTGACTGCTGCTCCATAACAAAGAAGCGCAGACAGTTTAGTGAGTTATTTTGCTTTATTCCATCATAATCTCAAGCCAAAAAAATGAAGCTTTGGCTCCATTGCAAATCAAAAGGGGACGCAACCCGTTTATTAACACGCCTTGGAAAGGATTGACGAGGTTGCTTTCCAAGGTGACATGACTCACAATCTAAAGACGAAAGGCTTGAGACCATTTGAAGTGATGTAGTATTAGTAGTCCAAAATGTTAAAGGGGAAGTTTTGGACTTCCAATTTATTATACTAGTAGGATAAAATGGGTAGTAAAAGTGGGAAATGGGATGTAGGAGGTTAAATATGGAGGGTGGGTTGACAGTGAAAGAAAATGGAAAAGAAATTAAAAGGGGGAGTGAGGCTGAGTGGTCCGCTGTGCGCAGAGGGAAAAGGGGAAAAGGGGCTGGTGTGGCCCAGCGGTGTGTAGAGGGAACTAGGCTTGGGTAACGTCATGGTGACGACGTCATTAAACCACATTTTTTTAAAAAAATTATAACTTTTTTATTTTTTATCCAAAAATAGATTAAGGCTTGGGATGTTGTTGTTGTTGTTGATCCAAAATTTTCAAAAAATATACTCCTTTACCCTCATTCTCTTTCCTACTTTTTCATTCTCTTTCCTACTTTTACCTTTACACACAACCGACTACACCTTTTATCCTACCCCTATTAATTCTTGTGTCAAAGGCTATACTCCCATCTATTAGAGAACGGAGGGAGTATCAAAATTCATGAATTTTTATGTTTCATATGACACCAATATGTAATATATAAATGATTTTTTTTAGATTTTAACAGTTGGAGTTTTCTTGCGCCCAAAACAAAATGAAACACAATTTTTTAATTCATGTAGCCTCCACAAATAACTTAATATTCAATCGAGCTTTACTTGAACTAAGTTCATTTCTTGTTAACAAAAAATGTTAAAAAAATCAAAGAAATTTGTTTATTTTTTACATCGAAATGTGTATTTTTTATTTTATAATTGTTCAGGGAAAAAATTAAAAGGAAAACATCACTAAATTGATATGTAAAAAATATGCCGAGAGTATTTTATTGACGGTTTTTGAATGTAGAGAAATATGAGTCTAAACACTGTTTTTCATATGGACGAAGTTCATGTTTAACAATTTGGCCTTCCAACCACTACAAATAGTCTAAGCAGGGGTTTAAATAATCCTTAAATCAAACCAGAATAGGAGACATAATAAACTAGGAAACATAATAGAAGTCCTAATTAAACCATAATAAGAAACATAATAAAAGGAATCAATATAATTGAAGCTAATTAAAATTAATAAGACCAGCCCACTAAGGTGGACTTAGGCTCGTCCCCGCCTACGGTAGACCAACAGGGTAGACCAACAGGGGCCTGGGTCTCCGACTCCCCTCTTCGGCCCCAGCTATCTGCTCCCCTGCTGTATATACAGTGCTCAAAATATCAAATGACAAAAAATTGAAGAGGCCTGAAAATTGGAGGCCCTTTCAAATATGGCCCACCACCAGTTGCGCTTGGGCCGGTCTGGTCCTAAATTTTAGATGTTTGTTCATTGTCATTTGTAATTATATTTCCTATTATGTAAAGGCTAAAGGATATACATATATTTGTTATTAAAAAATTCGTAAACACATCTCATTTTCCGAGCCAAGGGAGTATTAAAAAAATTTCATCATCATTTTTGTTTCCTTCCCTTGCATCTTTGATGATCCAAAGTCCAAACATACCTTAAAAGACACTAAATCAATTCAGGTTCTGACCCAAACTCTATTTTCTCGCAAGCAAAATTTTTAGAATTACAAATTATAAGGTGGTACGAGTAATGCAAATTTCAAAGCATTTGAATGGCTATTCAAGTCTTCAGTGTGGAACTCATAAAAATGCTTGGCAAGGAAAGTATATTTTGTTAGTGATAAAGTTACTTTTCAATCGTGTGTGCAGTCTGAAAAGAAGAAGCGGACGGCATTGGTGCAGGAAGCGAAAAGGAAGAAACTAATAAAAAGAGTTGAGCGAAAGATGGCTGCAGTTGCCAGGGAAAGGGCGTGGGCTGAAAGACTGGCTGAGCTGCAGAAGCTCGAGGAAGAGAAGAAGGCTACTTCCATGGCTTAGCGTTCCTTTCTATTTCATTTGGTCAGCCATGACTCTGCCAGCAAGAATTATTATTGCTAAATGATTCATGTACCTTTCTTTTGGGGTTTGCTATGAAGACTCTCATTAACTTTTGTTGGGTATTGTTGCTCTAAATTGTAGTTACATGTTAGCTGGCATGTTTTATTTTCTTCTTCTTCTTTTGAAGTGGAGTGTTATATTGCCGCATCCCATATAAAAAGAAGATTATGCTACCTGGTTAGTGATTGTATATTTTGCCATTGGCATACCACTTCATCCCATATTCCCATGAGGCAATGACGGTTTGAAATATTTCAAATCCAAATAATTAAGTGTAAAATTAATGCACATTTTCATTTGTGGATACTTTATTAGTAATCTCATAATCTGATTAGAACTACCACATCACTAAAGTTAATACAATGTAGACATGGATTTGGTTTAGTAGAAAAGCAAGCATTGATTGGAATTTGGAGAAATTGGAGGTAGATGTAAAAATAACAGTTCAATACTTATTTCATGCAAAAATTGAAGTTCACTACATATTTGGTGTATACACTTTTACACATGTCTGTGTAGGTTTTTTTGTCTGTATAGACAAAAGAAAAGCCTATACAAACATGTGTAAAAGTGTGTACACAAAAAAGCCTACACATATTTTGAAACTCTGCAGCGGTAGAGCATTGTTTAGTCACCTTTCAAAAATTATTTTAAAATACTCTCCCCCTATGCTAAAGTGACTCTCTGTTCATGATTTATTTGGTCTACCAAACTCCCTACTATAATCTGATTGTTACTCCCGCATTCTATAAAATTCTTCTTACTTATCATTTTGAGATGTCTGAAAAACTTCTTCATGTTTTCATTTTTGAAAAGTTTTGTATGACTAACATTTATTTACCTTTTTCTTACTCAACCACAACCATATATTTCTACTTTGTTCCCACTTTCTTAAACTCCGATTCAAGTCAAATCGGGAAGAGTTTTATGGAAGGAGGGAGTACTATTTTGTCATATTTGAATTGAGTTTAATGTATTATAGGTATATAGGTTCTAAATATGTAAATTTTAAATATTAATATCAATTCAAATATTGTCGGATGTTAATTAATTCTATCATTAGATATAGGGTAAAATAAATAAAATACTCTAAACTTTACATAGGTGTCCACATTTTATAAATATCTCATACTTTGTAAAATTGAGATATTTATGCCCCATCTCCTACCAAACCATCTAAGAAAACACACATTTTTTGAGGATCACACATCTTTTTTTGACAACTAAATCTAATTAACATATTTTAATTTGAGAAATATTATTTGTTAATTAAAATATGGTACAAAAAATATAAATAAATAAAGTTGGAGGTATTTTTTAAACTAGGACAAGTACAGGGTGTGGAGCTCACATCGAGGCAAATTTCATGGTATATTATTTATTTTTCCCTCAGATATATTATCAAATTAAGGGGAATATAAACAAACTCTAATAATATATCTGACCGAAGTAGGCACCCAAAAAAATTAAAAGAAAAGGAAAAATGTTGTGTATTTACTTCCAATTGCATCTGTGTTTCAAACAAGCCACTAAAGATGTCAAAGTATTTAAGCGCACATAAATGTGCTTCTATGGTTCTGTATATTTTCAACAAATACATTCATGTATTTTAATATTTATTTTATAATAATAAATGTTCTTCCTCATTTGTATCATGAAATTGATATTTTAACATATTTGTCTACACAAATTAAATACATGCCCCGTATTTCTAAGTCCATGTTCGTGCAACATAAAGACTTCGATGACAAAATGAACTGACCATCCATATTCGTTCGCACATTATTACAAAGAAAAGCCAAACAAGGAAATAAGGCCAAGGAAAGAGTGGAGCCGGTTTTCTTCCACCAATTAAGTCATAAACCTCTCTTATTACGCAAAGTAGCCAAATCAAGCACGCTCAAGCCCTCCCACTAGTGATGAATGCTGGGAGAAGAACACCGTTACTACTGTGCTCTGTGCATGAGCGGAAGTGAGATTGTAGCTGAGTGAAGATATGTTGAGTTTTCTTAACAGAAAAGATGTCAAAAAAATTCTCAAACGCAAGGATAGTGATGCTGGGGATATAGGTAAGCTTTTTCCATTACTTGTGGTGTTACGAAGTTTATATCTTGGTATCTTGCGTATATTTGGGAGGGATACTGAGAATTGTTCCCCATTTTCAAAGGCTGTAATTTTCTATTTTTCAGTTGAGATTAATTTGTCATGAGTGTTTATGGGGGATGGATCTTTGCTTAAAAAGACTTGATTTTGTTCTGCATTTTGTTCTGCATTTTGTTCATTCCATCTCTTCCTGATTTTGTTGAGTCTTCCCGGGCAAGACTTACTGTTTGAGGTGAGCCATTACTTAATGTAGGTGCTGAAACATCAGTTCTTCAAATTATTGCCATCTCTGCAGTTAAAAGGTCCAAAAGATGTATTTTGTTTTGGTTTTCATTTTTTTTTTAAAATTTGACCCTCTTTTGACTGTTTAAATTAAGTTAATTGGTCTGTGCTCCTGAGGATGGATCTTAGGTTGAAAAAGGTTGAGCTTTGTTGTTCTTCATGAATGAAAGGATTCTGATTGGCACCAATAATAGTAAATAAAAAATATTGGGTAGCTAACTAGCTACGTACAATGTTGATATGAAGTATCCTGAAACCAAATTAAGAAATAAAGTGTCTTTTCTTGTGAAGGTGCCTTTATTAGTTAAGCAAATGAGATATATGTTAATTTCATCACACAGGAAGGGCATTAGAGGAGACACGATCATCTCTGTTAAGCAAATTGAGGGCATTTGGAGGTGCAAAGCGACAGCAACCGACCTTATGGGGACCTATCATTGCGCTATCATTCAACTTTGTTGTATCTATTAGCATTATATTGATGAACAAGTTGGTTAGTTAACTATGCATCATTCCTTTCACTTACTGCAGTAGCATCTTTATAGAGTATAACCTTTTACCCTACACAGGTTCTCGTCGAAGTCGGGTTCAACTATCCAATATGTCTAACTTTTATACACTACATATTTAGCTGGTTGATAATGGCCATTTTGAAGGCTTTCTCCATTCTTTCACTCTCTCCGCCTCCAAAGTCAACAAAGTATTCTTCATTGGTTTCTCTCGGAATAGTTATGTCTCTATCTACTGGTCTTGCAAATGTCAGCTTGAAATACAACAGGTATGCCCTATGGTGCTTATTCTGTTCCATATGTTTTCTTTCCTTTGCATCTTAATGCCTTAATGAATACATCTGCAGTGTTGGATTTTATCAAATGGCTAAGATTGCAGTCACACCTGCCATCGTGATTGTTGAGTTTATTTTCTTCCAGAAGAGATTTTCTGGCCAGAAGGTAATTGTAAGAGTATTAGTAGTTAAGTTGAGTCTAACTTACCATAAAAAGATCTTCAAGAGGTGAGGTACCCTGCAGTCCTACACTTCTATATACAACACTCAAACCCAATACACACCTGATGCAGCGTAGTCAACACATCCCTCAGATTAAACCAGAATGGGTCCAAACTGACCCCAAAAGAATTACTTCAGTTCTTCAAAGAATGGGGCGTCCTACGAACCACCACTGCATCGAGTCCCAATACCAAATACATAATACAAGACTGGTTAGGAAATACACATAGGGCTACACTAGGGTTAGGTAACAATTAAATCTGCAACACCTCCTCTCATGTTGGGTCAAACAAATCATACGATTCTAGTCTGTTAAAAATATGTTCTATTCTAGGATCTCTTAGTGGCTTGGTGATAATATCAATCAATCTCTCATCAGAACTAATATAGAACTAATGTATTTGGTATTGGTGAGTCGAAACATGACTTTATTTATTTATGAAATGACAATCAAGCTCAATAGTCTATTTTGAACACTTGATCTGGCGTTGATTAATTGCTTCTCAGTTTTCTAAGAGACGAGGTTACCACCAATAGCAACACAACATCAGGAAGTCGATCCATACAAAATATCCCAATAATATAAAAAATGTTATCATGAGCGTCTTCATATGATAGTCCTTGTGTAACACCCCATGCAGGGCTAGAATGATAAACCTGCTTGAAGATGGCAGATATATATGAAACTTTAATAAGTACATTGCTCACGCTGTTTTAGTAACTTTAGCAAGATTCTTATAAGTATAACATCCTGTATAAACACCCAGTTGATCGTAGATGGTAGAAATGTATAATTGTAAGAAAGAAAAGATAGCTTGTCCATGAAAATGACCATTTGGTATGTTTCAGGTGATTGCACTTACTCTAGTATCCATAGGTGTTGCAATAGCCACAGTGACTGATCTGCAATTCCACTTCTTTGGTGCTTGCATAGCAGTTGCCTGGATAGTGCCAAGTGCAACAAATAAGATACTATGGTCTAATCTTCAGCAGCAGAAGAACTGGGCTGCGTTAGCGTATGGTCTCATGCTGTTGTTATTCTCTTGTTATTTTTTATTTTTTAATTATAAGTAGTTATTACCTTTTAATTTTGTCATGGTGTGGGGTTAATCTGCTTACTTCTGATGTTAATCTTATGTGTTTCCAGGCTAATGTGGAAGACCACACCTATTACACTGTTCTTCCTTGTTCTTTTGATGCCATCACTTGATCCACCAGGTGTCCTCTCCTTCCGTTGGAATGTATATAACACCACAATTGTTCTTGCTTCTGCTGTTCTTGGGTTCTTACTTCAGTGGTCGGGTGCTCTTGCACTTGGGTGAGTAACGTGTGTATTCTATTAAATGAAGTAAACAACTAGCACCTATATTTCTATTAAATGTCAAAATGCCATATTCTATTACTTTGTAAGGTTGCAGATAGGAATGTATTCTTCTACTGTTTATTAATAGAATTGAGTATTGGGTCTGGATCACTCAACTGGGCCATAAGACCCTTGGGTCAAACCACTCTAAAAGCTTGAATCCAATTATAAACTAGGTAAACCCAGAGGCTTATTAACTCATTGTTCTGTCTCTAATTTTTAGATACAACATTATAACACTTCCCCAAAAGTGGACAACTGGTCCATTTGAGTCTAACCATGCAGAGTAGGCTAAAACCTACTCTAATGCCTTGACATAAATCAGGATTGAGGTGGGGCTCACTCATTTGGGTCATAAGGTACTTGAGCCAAACCACACGGGATGATTGATTCCATTATGTATGCTAGTTCAATTAAAAGTCTTAGAGAGAGTTTTCGTTTGCAATGGAGCCAAAGATTCATTATTTTTTGGCTTGAGATTATGATGGAATAAAGCAAAATGGCTCACTAAACTGTCTGCGCTTCTTTGTTATTGAGCAGCAGTTAGTCCATGCAGTTTTGGACGCGATTTTCACTATGGTCATCCGGAAACAGTCTCTCTGTGCTTTAGTACAGGGGTAAGACTGCGTACATCTGACCCCCCTACCCCACCGTAGGTGGGAGCCTTTGCGGCACTGGGGTAAATGAAAAAAAAGAGAGTTTTCGTTTGCTTCTACTTTTGAAAGTGATTAATAGTAAAAGTTAATAGTGTTTGAAAAGAAAAATGATTTTAAGAAAGTAAAAGGTAGCATTTGGCAAAGAAGTACTTTTTTGTGTAATAGAAAAAGTGAAAAACATTTTAAACATTCCCCCTGTTTCTGCTTTTACTTGTTAACTGCTTGACTTTATGCAGTTGCATCCGTTTGAAACCACTACTTTTAGCTTTTTTAAAGCAAAAAGCTAAAAAGTGTTTTTTAAGAAATTGGAAACACTCTTTTAGCCCATAAAATATGCAAGATGTTTTAGTGATTCATGAACTATCAAACAGGCCATTAAAGAAATATTTTTTCAATGCATAATATATTCCTCTGAAAATCACTCTCCCTGTTGACCTGCAGAGAAACATCTGCCACCACTCACGTCGTCCTTGGACAGTTCAAAACATGTGTCATCCTGCTTGCTGGGTTTTTGCTTTTTGGTTCAAATCCTGGAGTGACTAGTATTTTTGGGGCAACTACAGCTCTCGTTGGTATGACTATCTACACTTACCTGAATTTGAAATCGAAGCAGCAAGCTGCAAAAGCTGCCATTAGACAATCTCCGCTTTCACAAACACTGAAGGAGCACAGAGAAAATGGTGGTACACAGAATGGAAGCCTTGGTGATGAATCTGTGTAGCCTCACCTTGAAGTTCTTTAAACCACAGGGTACCCAAAGCTTTTATTACTTCATTAGTTAGATTGTGTACACAGGATGGAAGCCTTGGTGATGAATCTGTGTAGCCTCACCTTGAAGTTCTTTAAACCACAGTACACCCAAAGGTTATATTACTTCATTAGTTAGATTGTGTTCATAATCCAGGTCTGTAGAGCTTTAAATAAATTTATGCTCTTGTGATGAAAATGGTAGTGATAGAATGATAGCTGATAGTCATATCTTATTCCCTTTTTCGCGATTATATGTTATATCGGTGCTTCTGAATTAGTTTTGTATTGGATTCAATCTTAGAGGATGCCAAGATTTACATGATGTATTATTTAAATTCATATATGTGATCTTTGTATGGATACTGATTCTTGTCACTGTCTCTCTTGCTGCATTTCTGCATTAATCTCATCTTTATCTGCCCGGTTTCATACGAGTATATAATTCCATGTTTTAAACACATTTCCAAGACTCTGAAATAGGAAATTGAAACAGGGGCTATTGTGATAAGCAAAGAAGTTACTTAAGTACTGTTGGATAGACGTGGTGTCACCTGTCAGTGGTGGTCTGGTGGAGTGAAGAATGGGCTAGAGGGGGCGCAACCCCCTCCCCCCCAAAATAATATGTTGTCGAAACACATACCAAAAAATTTAAATTATAAAAAAATATGTGGAAATATGAAATTTTGGGAGGAATATCCCAAGTATAATCATTTCAAGCTTCATACCCTGATACGGCAATTCTAGCTCCGCCACTGACACATCACACATCTATATACGTATATGAGTTTTGCAACCATTGCAGCCTGGTGGGTGTCAAATAATGGCAATATTGAAGGCTTTTGGAACTATATTGAATTGAAGCATTCTAATTAACTCAATGAAATACTTTCTGAACAACACGCATGTTGAAAAAAACAATCAAACTTAGGTGCATATGGACATTTCACAAGAGTTCACACTTGACCCTTATAACTGTTATCAACTTACTAGGTGGTAGATAGATGGATAGTTTCTTGGACTTTCTGTCCTTATTCATCACCTTATCCACCATCCATTATTTTGACTTAGTTAATTTGATCAACAAAAGCATGAATATGCCCAATGCCTTTTCATGGATATGTAGGCAGGAACATAGTCATCTGCAGAGTCTGATGATCCCTTGCCTGGCACAAGAACTCGGGTCTTTCCAGCTGCGATTCTCCTTGCCACAACGTTGTCACTAAACATGTTTGATGATGTTGGTACATAAACATCTGCCATTGAAGATATATATATGTCCACAATCTGTCTGAGTTCAGGATGTTCAGGATCCAAGAACTTTGACTTGTCGTTCGAAGGGATGATTACATCCTGTTGCAACAATAAGATCAATCTTCAATGAAGGTTATCTGCATGCATGTATAAAATGATGCACAGTTTTTTATTTTTAACTTTTTCTTATTATTTTAGAACAAAAAAATAATATTGATGCATTTCCTTACACACGTCATTTTTTTGCTTACAAATGTCAATATATTAAGAGGAGTGATTTGGTGTCTTACATGATGGCTTCATGTTTTTTAATAGCTTAACATAGATAATGGAGTGAATGAAATCATGTTCAAAACAAGCATCTTTGGAACCAATAGGTTGTGCATCTTTTTTTAATTTGTGAAAAAAAATCTAACATTGATGCATTTCATTAGAAAAGGACAACTTAATATGAGAAGTAAGAGCGAGGTATGAAATGAATCAGGCAATGGGTTAGCCAAGTGTGTAATTGTATATATTTACCCCCTAATGAATAAAGATTATATCAAATATGCAGGAATACCTATTTACCCACATTGCCCAACTCATGGATTCACTGCTCCAAGGCCCCAGGAAGAGTAATCTGTAGTCTTATATATGACTTCTCGTTTTATAATTGGTTAATGTATGATGGATTGACACAGAAAATCTGATGAATAAATTAAGAGCAAACCAAGCAACTTTTGAATTGATAACGCAAAAGAAACATATAATTTACCTTGGTGTAAGTGTTGGGAAAAGCTTTCCGGAAATGTTCAAGGCTTGAATCCCACCCATTTAGTGTCAAGTAAATGGTTGTTTCTCTGGGAAAACCGATCTTTTGTAAATACAAAACTATATCATTGGCATCAATGCAGTTTTGGGTTGCAGTTTCACTGTCAGGACACTTACTACCGCCTTCGGGTAGACTTTCCACCCTGTAATCAACCGCGATGAATCGGCCATGTGAATGAGAGCTGAGACTTCTGAGTGTTAGAACCATCGAGTCTATAGATTCTTGCAATTCCGGCCTCAACTTCAGGGTGTCAAACACAGCCAAGCATGCATATGGATTTAGTTTTCTTGTTTGTTCCATTGATGATGGGAAGTAAGTGGCAATCCTTATATTTGGTGTGCTCTTGAATACTGGCTCAACTTTTGAGCTGATGAACTCTTTGGAAACCATGTTAGGAACACTCACTTTGTTAACCTTTTGGTTGGATATTTCTGTTGCTTGAGGATCCACAACTAGAGGCACTTTCTTATCCAGGCTTTCAACAAACTTCTTCACATCATAGATGTCACCAAACTTCCTGAACATACATTGTTGCCATGATGTGTATAGTAGACACTCTTGTTACACTCTTATGGCATATTAAATTGGGAATTAACTCACCTAAAAGTATTAAGTTATCTAAGTAGTATATTAGATACAAATATGATGAATATATATTATGGAAAAAGGGGCAAATAAGCCCACGTACTAACAAAAAAAGGTGAAATAAGCCCTTATATAGGAGACTCTGTCCAGCCATCGCCATTTGGACAGCTCCCGGTGGAATTTGTTGATAATTTGTTTTTGAGAACCTTATTCATTAAGTTTAGTTTACTCATACCAAATTTCAGCTAACAATTCAATGGGGAAGGCATTCAAATAAATTCTTGAAGTTAACTGCGCTTTTAACTGCGCAGTTATCTTCAAGAATTCATTTGAATACCTTCCCGATTGAAGTTTTAGCTGAAATTTGGTATGAGTAAACTAGACTTAATGAATAAGATTCTCAAAAAATTTCATCAAAACATTCCACCGGGAACTGCCCCAAATGGATACGTCCGGACAGAGTCTCCTATATAAGGGCTTATTTGACCTTTTTTGGTTAGTACGTGAGCTTATTTGCCCCTTTTTCCTATATATTATTGACACAAAACACATTATTTTAAAATATTCAAACCCATAATATTTGAATATAAACTCCAAACAACATTCCATTCAAAATGAACCAATTTACTGTTTTCTTGTTTCTTTTGCTTGTCTGTGCAACATAGTCATTTCACTGTCCACATTTTCATTTATTTGAGTATAACTATTATTATTATTACTAATAATAATTAATGATAACCATAGTCATTATTATGGTTGTTATTGTTATAGCTGCTACTTGAGTATTCTATCTAGGGGTGGACATATCAGTTTCGGTTCGATAAAATCGGTTTCGGTTAGGTTTGCTTTGGAATGGATTGAAAGAATTATTCCAAACAAAAACCATACTATTTTTCGGTTTGGGTCGATTTAGTTTGGAATACTATCCATCCATTTTTTACTATTTACCGTAAGTTTTTAGTATTATTATTATTTTATATATTGTAATTTAAAATTTCTTTTATGCTAAATACAAACCAAATATTAGATTTATATAATATCAATACATTTTCTTCTGCATATTTAGGATGTTTTTACTTAGACTGAAATTTGATAGTCTGATCTGTTTAAGTCTGATTTGGTCTGGTCCAATAACTGTCTGGTTTGATCTATGGAAGTCTAATCTAGTCTGGTCTAGTTTATTTAAGTTTGATATGGTCTGATCTGATACTGAAAACAATCTAAGTAAAAACATCCTTAATGACAAACCTCGAGTACCATACTAACCTTTTCTTTCCTGGTTCATTTCCTTTTATGTTTGGAAGGACAAGTGTAGCTCCAAGGTGTTTAGCAACAACAACAGCATCAGCAATCTGCAGATTTAATACAGAGTAGTGTAGCATTTGAACTGAGCTTTTCTTTTTCTTTTTAAATTTTGAATTTTGATGTATTGTACTCCGTAGTTAATTACTACCTCCGTCCAAAAAACTTTGTCATTTTTAAAAGTTTGACCAACCATATATTTTTATTGGAAATTTTTTATAATACAAAGTAAAAGTTATATGAAAATGTTCTTTGTTAAAATTTTTCATAAAAGTATAAAATTTATAAATTCCATAATATTGTACTAATCAAAATAATGATCCAAATTTTATGAAATGACCAAAAAAATGAAATGACGATGTTTTTGGGACGAAGACAGTACTTAATTAATTACTATAAGTGCTCTGAACCACTAATCAACATCATAACTAAATGTCTGCCAGTGTTTTTTGTAATGAGTGATGAAGTAGTAATATTATTTATTAATTTATGTATATATCGATAATTTTACCTAAACTATCAAAAAAACTTACTAGACATTTAAGCTTGAAAAATAAAATGAAACTCAGATGTGAAAAAATGAAAAATGGTACAAAAAGGCATGTTTAGCTCGAAAAGGAAAATTGTAAGTAGAGGAAGAGACATATTAATACCTGTGCCAAATGATACTCAGGATCTTGAGCCAAAGTTAAAAAGATATAACCCCTTGATTGTTGCGGTTTCACTGAGACAAACATCATATTTTTTAGGTTCAAATATCTTTTTAGTCCTTGCAAATATACTACGGAATACATTTTATTTTACATCCCTGCATTTTTTTTTTTGTTTTTCGTCCCTGCAATTTATGCTGGTTTTGATTTTAGTTCATCATCGATGATAATAACCTCCGTTAGAATTCAAAATAACCCAAACTAATAGATTTCTTCTACTTCTTTATCATGTTATTCGAAAAGTATTTGATTTTATTGTTTAGAAGGTTTTTAATATATATTTTTAAAATTTGAATACTTAGTTTTACATAGTTTTAATTCTAATTTTAGCCTCAAAAAAACTATAAAAGGAAAAATTTAAATACTTCTAGTAGATTTATTCAATTGACAATAGCGTTTTTACTAATCAGATTGATTTCGGAATTAGAGATGGACTAAAACCAAAATAGTGCATATTACAGGGATAAAAAATAAAAAATATATTTTGCAGGGACTTAAAACAAAGTGTGTCATATTTGCAGCGATTAAAAAGGCATTTAAGCTTAATTTTTATATGAAATCACAGAGTATACATTTTCTTAAGAAATTAACAAATCACAGCGTATTCATTTTTTTGTTTAGGTTTTTTCATCTTACATTATGTGATTTCCCTTTTTGGTGTTGTGTGGGTCTTGAGAAATCTTCATTTAGAAAAGAAATTAATGTTCCAAGCATAACATCCATATGCACATTCTAAAAGACTATAAGTGGAACCAAGGCTAATTGAAACATATCATTAATGTTTTAAATACAAGTCTCAATAGATTTGAAATAAATTTATATTAATTAGACAAACGCTATTAGAGTATTAGACATGCATGTTTTGTGTTTAAGCAGAGACTACTAGAAAGTGAGGGATTAAAAAAATTTATATGAATTACAAGATGAATATTAATTAAAAAAACGATTTTACTGGGATCGAAAACTTAAAAGTATTAAAATAATCGTATAAATTAAAACAAGTCCATTAATGTTTTATTGTAGGATTACTCAGAGGTATACGCCAATTAGAGTATTAATCTCGATATGTTTAAGTTGATCTAGTAAAGGTCTGTTGCATGAGTGTTTTACAATTGTTTAAATTTGATTTTTGATTTGATCTAGTCTGTTTAAGTTTAGCTGTTTGACATGATTTGTTAAAGACTTAAAGTCTTGTTTGATTTAACCCGTTTAAATCAGATATGATCTAATTTGTTTTAGTCTAATTTGATTTAATCTATTTAAGTTTTATATGATCAGACTGAAATCAATTCACTTTTTTTTGAAAGGGAAATCAATTCAATTTAAAACAATGTTTGGAATGAAATGCCAAATATGATATTAACACTATCATATTAAAGTTCTGTAATGCCAAAATACGTCTGAAAAATTTAAAGATATCAGCAATTTACTCATATTTAGAATAAAAACACAATACTTGTGTTCAAAAATTTACATTTTTCATTTCATTGGAACTACTAGTTAGTCAAAGTTAATTATTTTGTGTTTGAATAAATCGTTCGCAATCTGATCGAATGTGAAACAGGTGAATGGGTGATAACGGTGCAAGTCCTCCGGCTCTCGCGAGTATATGGTAACCGGTGAGGATTTAGACATTATGAACCAAATATACAACATTTGTCAGCGTTACATGTAACTTAGTGCGGGCACGTAATTGATACCGCGTGTAGCACACCTGTTAAGGAGAGGTGTCACAAAACAGAGGTCTCGAGTTCAACTCCAATATATTGAAATGAAATCTCACTCTCTTTCTATTAAAATGTGATCAAAGTTCAACTTATATTCTCTCAAATAATTGTCCTGATCATATGTATAAAACATACTCCGTATGTAGTATAACGCATTGGTCATCACTAACTCTCCTAAGAGTATAAGACCATTTGTAGTGGGAAAGGTTTATGAACTATTAATTGCTTACATTAGAGGTTAAATGGGGTTTAAAAGTGAAAAGGGGAATGCTAGGGTTTAAAAAATACAGGGAGGATTGATAGCCCAAGAGTGAAGGAAAAATAGGAACATAAGAACTACATGAGGCTAGTGTTATGACTTATGCGGGTGATGTCATACCGATGTCTATCTCTATGTAATAAAACGGCCTTTTTGAAAGACTGCTTAAAGTTTAATAAAGAATTGAAGTTTCAATTGATAGAATTGTTTAGGTCCAAACAACACGAAACACAAATTTTTAATTCACGGTGTCTCAACAAATACCTGAACCTTACATGTTTTATTTTTTATTAAAACTAAGAAAAGAAAAAACAATAACAACATTTTTTAGTTTTGAACATCTAAATGTTTATATTTTAATTTATAAACTCTTCAGAAATAATATCAAAGTAAAACATTACTTATAATAACTTAATTTAATGTTTTATAAAATTGATACTAGTATGTGTTAAAGTTCCACACCGGATATCTATGAAAGAATTAAACATTATATTAATATCTGAGTTACTCCTTCTTCGACCCTTTAGGATGAAACCTCATGTCATAACAATATGTAAACAAATATGTTGAGTGTATCTTATTGACGTGCTAAAAGTCTGAAATGCGGAGAAAACAGCGCTAACAAGGTCTTTACTTAAGTATTGAAGGTTCCATATGTATCATGAAAACAGTTTTAACCTATTTACGTCCAAGCCCCTTCCTCCTCTAACCCTTGAGTACAAAAAATAAAACACAATAATATGTGTCTCATGACTCTCATCTCAAGCTCCAATATATCCCTCTTTAGTCCCTTACTAATTCGACGTAACTGAATATATATACGTTCATTTTAACTTAGAGTAACTAATTAAATTAATAATCAGTGATGACTGCAAAAAAGTCGTCATTCAATTATAATAAGATGATTTTTTTTTTGACAATAACGGCATGGATAAATGATCAGAAGCAGGAATGTGTTTTTTATTTAAAATTGAGCCAATCGAACAACAAAATGAAGAATAAATTAAATTCTACTAGTATATATAACTTACGATGATTAATATATTTTCTCCAACAAGGCTTTAGGTCATCTTCATTGTTTACTCCCCAAAGGTTAGGGCTCTCGGAATTTATTGTTGCAAGGTAACGTTTTGAAGCGCTGTCATCTGTTTGGCTGGCCTCTACTGAGATATCTCCCTATCATCATACCCAAATTTAAACTAAGATAAGTTTTTTTTAATACTCCGGGGGGTCTGGGGGGAGGGGGACCGGAGGTCTGGAGTAATGGGGCTGAAACGTAACTCACTCCATTGAGTTTCAAACCCTTATGTATCTAGCGGGTTTCGAACTCGAGACCTCCCACTAGGTACAGTAACCTCAAACCAACTGAGCTGGAATGCTTGGTTAACTAAGATAAGTTTTATTGTAGGAAAATAATAAAATCACAGATTATCCATTAATACAACTTATATTGAGATTATATAAGACCATAGACCATTTGTTTAAAGAGATTATATAGAATAATAAAAGTATCAGGAGTCTATTGATAATAATGGAATCCCCAAAATAAGGAAATCACACAAAGAGTTGTTGGTAACTCATATTTTCAGTTTATGTCTTATCACTTAACTTTTTCATCAAACACGAAATTTTTGATTTTATGCATTGAATTGTGTAATAATCAAATAATAATGTTGCAGTTACATTTTTTTTGCGAAAGTTACCGTAGATGATGGTTTTAGTTATTTTTCACATAAGTTTTTCTTCATTTTATTAATAAAATATATTTAAAATATAAACCTTCCATAATCAAGTGAGTAAAGCCAAATCACTTAATTACTTCATCCACAATTTTATCAATTTCAACAAATTCAACTTTTTAATCAATTTCTAATTATGTAATGAGTAATGACACCATAATACATTTATAATAAATGATCCATTTATAAAATCGTGAATGATCCATTATATAAATCTATGTTTGCCTCTTCTTCAAGTTAGGAATGATAGCCAAACAATACTTTTGTAGTTCGCGTATTGTTTTTCACAGTTATTTAAATACAAAATACATGGTGTCATTTTGACATAATATTTATAAAAATAGCACCAATAAGAAAGTATATTATAATACTACCTAATTAATACTCCCTCCGTTCTTTTTTAGTTGCAACGGTCAACATTTCACATTTGCCAATGCACGTCTTTGACCGTAATTATATCTTAATTCTATTAGTAAAAAAAATTAAAAACCAGATTTTGAAAATTTGTAATGAGATGAATTGAACAATATTTAAAAAAAAATATTTTTCATAAATAATAGCGTAAAATGTAGTCAAAGTAGAGCGTGAATAGTGTAAAATTCAACATGTTTCGATTAAAATGGAACGGAGGATAGTATATTATTACAGAATATCTTAACCATTTTTTAGTTTTTGGTAAATTAAAAAGAATAAGAAGAATAACAAGGCACAGTATAGGCAATAATATTTTATTTTGCGGAAGATAATTAATGTACCCATTATATATTATTATCGCATAATTAAGAATAATTTGAACCAGCGCACCATGAGGATGGTGCGCCCATGGTGCACCATGGTGCGCCCATAGTTCAATTCATCTCATTACAAATTATACCGTGCAACCGGCGCACCATGAGGATGGTGCGCCCGGTTGCAAAACGACGCAGTTCCTTGTTTTCTTTTTTTTGCTTTTGTTGTTTAAAAATGATGATAACTTTCTTATTTTTGATCCGATTTTTATAAAATTTATATCAACATTTTTTATTTTTCATGATCTTTCAAATGAGACCAATATTGCTTATGTAATGTTAAGAAATTATCGAACTATTATATTAATGAGTATTAGATTTTAAGGAAAATCGAATCTGTTTGGGAGATGATAGGTTTGTGAAATAGAAGATTGAATCTGTTTGGGAGTGGATCAGTGACCTCAGTGACATTTGATAATACATTGAGTTACATCTTTTTATGAACGAGTTACATCTTTTTATAAGCAAGTTACATCTTTTTATAAGCAACTTACATCTTTTTATAAGCAAGTTACATTTTTTTAAAAGCGAGTTACATATATATAAACACGAGTTGCATTTGACATGCCTGAACGCGACTTACATATATTTACACGTAAAGTTACATATTTTTACACGTAAAGTTACATATTTATACACGAGAGTTACATATTTATACACACGAGTTGCATTTGACCTGTCTGAACGAGAGTTACATATTTTTTTACGTAAAGTTACATATTGTTACACGTAGAGATACATATTTATACACACGAGTTGCATTTGGCCTGACTGAACGTGAGTTACATATTTAACACGTAAAGTTACATATTTTACACGCAAATGTTAATATGTTAAAATTACATAGGCAATATTGGTCTCATTTGAAAGATCATGAAAAATAAAAAATGTTGATATAAATTTTATAAAAATCGGATCAAAAATAAAAAAGTTATTACCATTTTTTAAAAACAAAAGGAAAAAAAAAAATATCCGTATACCGGTATACGGTGCTCACCGTATACCGGTCGTACGGTATAGGCACTCAGAGTGCGTATACCGTGCAACCGGTGCAGGGTGAACACCATGCACTCATATGGTATGATTTTTTATCTTTTTTTTAAAAATGGTAATAACTTTTTTATTTTTTATCCGATTTTTATAAAATTTATATCAACATTTTTTATTTTTCATGATCTTTCAAATGAAACCAATATTGCCTATGTAATTTTAACATATTATCGAACTATTATATTAACCTATGTAAAATATGTAATTTTATGTGTAGAAATATGTAACTCACGTTCAGTCAGGCCAAATGCAACTCGTGTGTATAAATATGTAACTCTACGTGTAAAAATATGTAACTTTACGTGTGAAAATATGTAACTCGCGTTCAGACAGGTCAAATACAACTCGTGTGTATAAATATGTAACTCGCGTGTATAAGTATGTAACTTTACGTGTAAAAATATGTAACTCACGTTCAGACAGGTCAAATACAACTCGTGTGTATAAATATGTAACTCGCGTGTATAAATATGTAACTTTACGTGTAAAAATATGTAACTTTACGTGTAAAAAAATGTAACTCGCGTGTATAAATATGTAACTCGCGTTCAGGCAGACTAAATATAACTCGTGTGTATAAATATGTAACTTTACGTGTACAAATATGTAACTTTACGTATAAAAATATGTAATTCACATGTATAAATACATAATAAAATAAATTTTTTATATACACAATTTTAAGATAAATTGTGATTTACACAATTATTATTCTGTATTAAATTTAGTTCGATTTTCCTTATAATCCAATACTCATTAATATAATAGTTCGATAATTTCTTAAAATTACATAAGCAATATTGGGCTCATTTGAAAGATCATGAAAAATAAAAAATGTTGATATAAATTTTATAAAAATCGGATCAAAAATAAAAAAGTTATTAGCATTATATTTTTTAAAAACAAAAGGAAAAAAAAAAGAAATCCGTATACCGGAATACGGTGCTCACCATATACCGGTCATACGGTATAATTTGCCATAACTAGTGGTGGCGTATCCCGAAAAATATACCAGTGAGGGCGAATTTACCGTAGATTAAGAAGAAAAAGATCTGACTAATCAGATTTAAAAATTGTAAAATTAATTATAAATAACAAAATATTCTCTTGACAAAAACATTACGATATCATATTTAATTAAATTTCAATTTGTTAGAAATAATTTTATCACATGGCATCTGTAATTTGTGAAAATTTATGTCAATATATAAATGATCAACTGAAGGATCAAGCATGTACTTAGAATTAATTTAAATTTAAAATTGACAAGTATATTAGAAAAAATACGATAGTAGTTTATATTATGTACAAAATCATTTCATATGTCAAACTAGAATTGTAACTATATATTGATGTAGTTTAGATCTTTTCAACAAGAAAAAAGTTAAAAAGAATAATGTAAAACAACTTAGACTTTGTTTAAGGCTTCAATTCAAGAGCAAAAGCAAAAAAAAAAACTAAAAAAAAACAAGGCATAGAGTTTGTTTAGAAAGCACTACTAATCCCTGCACTTCTTTCCACTCGGCCAAAGATGCATGTAGTCATTTTTTTCATACTTAATATATAACATTCCTTTATTTAACATAAACATATAACTATAAATTGGATATACCACACACACACGAGTTGGGTGGGGGTTCAGTGGGACCGGAGCAGCTGCTCCCCTTCCCTCACCCTGGATACGTTCCTGGTTATAACCAAAGGCAGGGGCGGAGCAAGGGCACTAAGCCAGATTGGATCAGTACAAAGAATATTTTTGAATTAATTTCACCTTTGATTGTATGAGTTGTATATCAAATTTCCATTTAGTCTCTATCTTTTGCATTATCCACTTATAGTAATAGCTGACTAATATTTCTCAATCATTTGTGGTACTTCGGCCAACTTTTCGATGTCTCATGGTTGATAATCAATAGTCATGTGTCAAAAGTGTCTAAAGTAAAAAACATAAACCAATTGACAAACTGGTGTGATACTCGTATGATAAAAAAATGAAATTTGTTGCTTTTACAATTATAACCCCAAAAATAAGAAAACGTTATAGGAACTCATAAAAGTAATGAGATGAAACGATAAATGAAAGGATAGAGCGAGAAATAAAAAACAACGTACTTCAATTTAGTAATTAAAATGACCCTTTTATGAAATCGCGTGAAAGGGAAAACACATCTTGCAAAATGAGACGAGTGAACGAGAAAAACGCATCTTGCCAAATGAGATGGAGGGACCGAGGGAGTACATAACTAATGCTCCCATCATTGCTCAATTTTAAAAAATGACACCTTGTTTAATCAAAGAACTATGCAAAAATGGAATAAAATTTAGTCTTGAATAGAGCAATGAAGACACCTTGCTCAATCAAAGTACTATGCAAAAATGGAATAAAATCTATTCTTGAATAGAGCAATAAAGACAAGAAAGATTGGATCATATTTTACCAAAATAAGGGGATCAATGTGGTCTTTCTTGATCATGTTGCAGAGCATGAGAAGCATAGAAGCTGTGAGACACCCAGCAAGTATATGCCTCAAGTCCTTAGCCATTTTTTTGTCACTTTATGTAATGTTTATTTATTCTCTAGACTAGACTAAAAAGCTCTTCTCACTAGAACCTTATCTTATAGTAATTCTCACACACATTATACTATATCTGATCACACCAGTCTTGCTCCCTCTTATAGCCAATTAAAGCAGTTAGTTCTGCGCACTGCAGGAAAAGGATAGAACATACACATCTTGCACAGAAAGGCATTGCCTATCTTTGGTAAAACGACAAAGCAAGACAGCTCTCAATGGCTTAGCTAGTCATCATCTTCAAATCGAAAGCTACCAGAGCTTCACCCTATTTTTTTCCTTTTTTTCTCACTTTAAAGATGGAGTAAGGGGTGAGTATTTATCTTCTTATCGGTGGAGCCGCACCGAAAGTGAACTAGATCAAGTCATTCAATATTATATATGTCAATTTGTTTCTCAAATTGAATTGAAGTAAATAATAATAATAATAATTATAATAATTATTCACTCTAATAATGATAATGCCTAATGTGCATATACTAAATATAGAAAACCTAGAACGATTAGATTTTTATTTAATCAGTTCCCGATCCATTTGTGTTTACACCCTCCACGTTCATCATCATCACATAATCTGATTTTTCATAGTCCTTAACTTTGCATTATCCCACATAACTTTTTAGAGTTAAACTCAACCATCTAAATTACACCGAGAGCCTGTTTGGTAACACTAAAATCCGTTGAAATGACTAATTCTGCTAAAATTTATGAAGTTATGTCTGAAGGAGTTGTATTAGTTGATTATGCTGATTTATGCATTAATTATATTTAAAATAAATTTCATTAATAAAATAAAGAAAAAAATTATATGAAAAATAGCTAAAATGGTTATCTACAGTAACTTCAGTCAATACAACCAGAAAAGTAACTTCGACCTTACCTTTTCTTAGTATTACACAATTCAGCGTGGAAAATCAAAAGTTACGTGTTTGGTTAAAAAGTTGACTGATAAGCTTTATAAGCCAAAAAACAGAGTCACTAAACAAGCCCTCTATCATCAACAATTATATCATTTGTGGATGGTGAATTAACTAATTAGTTCTAATTTCAGTAATAATGTCAGATTATTTGATCTTAGTAATCCTATATATATCTTTTACTCAACAAAAGAAACGGCACATTGCGAACATGCTCAAAACATTTTATCAAAAAATTCCACCGGTAAGGGCCCCAAATGGCCTTGGTCTGCCTAATGGGATCACTACTCACATGTGTGTGTTTGTGTGTGTATGTATAATTACTCGCTCTGTCCCGCTAAGATAGTCTCATTTTTCATTTTCTGTCCGTTCCACCAATATTGTCTCATACTACCTCCGTCCCTTAAAACTTTGCCAAAGTTGACTGGCACGAAGAATAATAAAGTAAAAATTGTGTGGTTGAGGTTTGTGCAGAGGAGAAAAATAACAGACACCATAAAATAATTGATTAAAAGGGAAAGTAGCAAAGTTTTTTGGGACGTCCCAAAAAGGAAAGATGATAAAGTATTAGGGGATGGTGGGAGTGTAAAATTTGACAAAATTTATGTTGTTTTAAATCATTCTTACTTTATCAATTTAATATTTATCACATAAACTCACTTTTGTTAATAGTTGTGTCACATCATCATGTCCCAAAGTTATTGGGACGAATGTACTATAATATGTAGTACTACCTCCGTTCCTATTATAACTTCTAAATAGGTTTGACACACAATTTAAGATAGTGGATATTGTGTGGTGGAGAGTTGTGCAGAGGAGAGAGAAATGTATATGAAATGTTGTGAAGCACAAATTCTTTACCAAAAAGGAAAAGTGGAAGTTTTAATTGGAACGGACGAAAAAGGAAAGTTGGAAGTTATAATAGGAACGAAGGGAGTAGTATATATTAATAAAACGATAATACGAGTATATATTATTATATATACACGGGTGGATGGATGGAGCGGATGACGGGTAGGATGAGTGCTTACCCACACCCAATCCAAACCGTATTTCAATCCACCCGCCACCCATTTTCAATCCATACTTTTCGGGTTTCAATTCGTCCACGTTTTCGGTTCGAGGCAACTCACGGGTAGCTCAGTATCCGCGGAATCAAGTGATATTACTGATCCTATCTATATGTGTTTACACTTACCCGCACGGGTAGCTCAGTTGGTCGAGTGGTGGGAGATTTGGATCAATGGACCAAGGTTCGAATCCCCTCAACGACCGGGTGGAGGTTACAGAACCTGAAATAAGGCTGGACCTCTGGTGCGCACATGTGTATGGGTCTACTGTCATTCTGCTGATCGGGTCACCGTGATTAACCTCCCCACCATCCTGTCGGGTCGAGGTGGAGGCTCCTGAGGTGGGAGATTCCACCTTTCAGATCAATGTGTATTGTGTTTATACTTTACACCGTACAATGGGAGTACATTACATAGAGAATATGTATCTTAACACCTAAAAGGCTAAAATATAAGCATTAGGTTCAAGAGAGTCTCACACTATTTGCTGTTATATTTCAAAGATGTTCGGTAACTCATTTGGACTGCTTTTACACAGTACAGGCTGTACAGCCGTGTATGAGAATCCGTATTTCTGATAATACCGTAATATTATTACGCATTATTATTTGCTGACTCAGCTGATCAATACGGTTTATTTCGCTTTTGTGAGCCTATAAATAGCGGGACTGCTCTGTTCTCAGTTCCGCTTCAGCCCGGCCTCGCTAGCTGCAGCCAGCACCTGAGCCGACGGAGCGTTACCGGCCAGGACTCCTCCGCCCAAACACGCCCGGCGTGTCGCGGTCTCCGGCTCCTTTGCTCCTCCCGGGCCTGATCTGGCCCGTACCTCTTCCTCCATTCCAAGTGAGCCGCCGGCCCTCAATCGGCCTCTGCCGAGCCCGTCTGTTCGACCCGGCCACCGATGCAGCAGCCTAGCTAGATCGATGGAGCCAAATCGGATTGCCACGAAACCATCCACAATCTTAACGGAGCCGCCGTCGTCGATCCTCTGATCGTTCTCTTTTTCTGTGGTTGCAGATACAACATATTTAGACGACGAAGGTAAAATTGCTCTTATTCTGATCAAAATCGCACTGATCTGAACATTCATATAAAATCAGAAAACATTCGGATGTAATTGAAAATTCTCAAACTAGACCAAATTTTGAAACTTGGCGCGTTGTTTTGATTTTTTGTTGCTTTGTTATTTTTTATAACTGTTCTACACGAAGTAATTAGTTTTTGATTTCATAAATTTCATAAATATAATTGTTAATTATGTTTTTATTTGCAAAATAAGAGTATTACAATATCTATTTTTTTAGAGGTTGAAAATCTCAAAATAAAAATCTAAAATGTATGTACTCTTATTTTTTATAAGTGTTCTACACGAAGTAATTAGTTTGTAACAATCGTAAAAATCCGGAATTCCGGATAATTCTTCAAATAAGAGTAGATACATTTTAGATTTTTATTTTGAGATTTTCAACCTCTAAATAAAAATAGATATTGTAATACTCTTATTTTGCAAATAAAAACATAATTAACAATTATATTTATGAAATTTATGAAATCAAAAATGTTTTTAATTATATTTAAGGAAATTTGTTAAAAAAATAGTAATACTCCGTACTATATTTATAAGATCGCTATATTAATAAGTGTAGTATATTTTTAGTAAAAATAAAACATACTCAAGGGCGGAGTCAGGGCACCGGGTCAGACTGAACCGGTACACGAAATATTTTTGAAAAAAAAATTACAAAGAATTTTTTACACTAAAAAACATAGACATTTTTAAAATTTGGGCTGGGCCTGGACCAGGGTTGGCCCTCCCCTAGCTATGCCCTTGAACATACTAATTCAAATATAATCATGATTACTACGTAGTACTACCCCGTCCCTTAAAACTTTGTCAAATTTGATCGGCAAAGAGAATAATAAAGTAAAAATTGTGTGGTTGATATTTGTGCAGAGGAGAGAGAAATATATGAACCACAAAATAATTGATTAAAAGAGAAAATAACAAAGTTTTTTGGAACGTTCCAAAAGGAAAAGATGACAACGTTTTAAGGGATGAAGAAAATATTATATTATTGAGTATTTCACAAAATTAACTATGTTTTACAATATATAGTTTTTATTAACATCATATCTTAAGTATGATGCATGAACATCATAACCAATCATAATCAATAATCATGATCATAGTTTGGCATATACTGGCCGTATAGAAAATCCGTAAAATTACTGATATTACCGCAATATTATTACATACACTATTATTATTTGCTGACTCGGGCTAATCAATACGCAATATTTCTTTACTGGAAGTTGCTTTTGTGGGCTTATATTGTTAAGATCTGTGGTTCAATCCTATAAGGTCAACCTGATAGGAGGAGTAGTCCATGTCTTAATATAGCACTTCGTTGATTCAAACTTTTCCGGTGTGGGATTCTAACACTCCTCCTCACGACCAGACACTTCATTTGGATCGTGCCGTCAGTCATTTTTTCGTCAGTTCGTCATTGTCATTTTTTAATCGTGTCGTCATTTTTCATAAGGGGGGACACCATGATTATGGATCGGTTTGGCTCTGATACCATGTTAAGACACGGGGTTCCATCCTAAAAGGTCAACCTGATAGGAGTAGTAGCTCATGTCTTAATATAGCACTTCGTTGATTCAAACTTTTCCGGTGTGGGATTCTAACATATATATAGCAATTAGCGGGGTGCTCTGTTCTCAGTTCCGCTAACTGCAACCGACACCTGAGCTATATTGTTTATTATTGTTTATAACTGTTCTGTACGAAGTAATTAGTTTGAAACAATCCTAATAATGCATAAAAAATAAGGGATAATTCTGGGAATAAGAGTTGAGACGTTTTAGATTTTAAAATAGTTCCGTTATGTTTTAGAAATCTATATAAAAATAATTAATGTCTAAAGAAAAAAATTTCATGTTTAAAGCCTTATCATACTGAAAATGATAGTAATTACTCTCACTTTAAAAATAAAAATATAACAATTATATTTATGAAATTAAAATCGTTTAAGAAAATTTAAAAAAATTTGTCAAAAAACAATAGTAATACCCAACTATAATTACAAGATGGCTATATTAATTAGTGTATTTTTAGTAAAAATAAATAAGTATATTAACAATATATAAGTACATTTTATAAAACTTCTATGTTTAACAATACATAGATTTTTATTAATATCATATCTTTACTATGATGCGTGAACATCATAACCAATAATAATCATAATAATTATTACGTAGTAGTATTCATGACTAGACACAAAATTTATAAAAGCAAAAATTACTTGCTCTTAAATTTTTTAAAATATAAATAACTTAACCTCACATAGTTTTTTACAAGAAAATAATCGACAACTTTGTGAAAAAATATACTGAAACTCTGAAAGACGAAGATTAGCTTCATGCATTCGTCAAATTCATACCTAAATAAGAAAACACAACTGACCCTTTAAATTAAAGTCAGTGCTTCTTCTTATTCATAAAACAATAAAACGAAAAGACCAAAGGTAATTTTCTTATCACGTTAATAAAGAGATTAATAATGGTGGTTGGATTTTAGTGATTAATAATTTCCATTTTGATCAGAGCAGTTGGATATAGGCATCCAAGAGATCCTCTAAAATTGTGATATTAATGTCTCAAGGCAATGATATACTTAGGGTTGTAAACGAACCGAATCAAGTCGAATAGTGTGATTTTGTATTTGTATTTATTTAATTTTTTTGATTTCGAATCCAAATTTGAATTTGAAACTAATATTAATTTCGATTTGAATTTGTATTTGTTTAATTAACAATACGAATAGTTAATGAATCATATACAAATATCACATCGATTTGAGCATAAATTAAATATTAGTCAAATGTCACTTTAATATAACTTTTCCTATATTTTTATGCTATAAATGCATTCTATGACTTACATTACATTTTAAATTAGCCTTTTTATGTGTTTTTAGAATTTGATTTGTAACATTACATTTTCGTAAAAATTAATGGATCAGTGCATTTTTAGATTGTGTACGATATAATAAAGTGAATCAATTTTATGATTTTTAAATATACATATATTTCAAACATTTTGTAATAAAAACTAACACACACATTAAAAATTATACTTATAATGTGTGAAATAAGTTGATAATTATATTGTATATACCAAAGTGAAACGACTCTAATTTTATGTTAGATATTTAGCATTGTTTGCTGATAAAAAACCATTAGATATACGAAGTATAATTTAAACTACACACGTATATAGCGGATAGTTGATGCACACACATGTATATTAGGTAGTTGATTTGTATATGTATAAACAAATATATTCGATTATTCTTTGAATTGAATACATAATTATCAGTATTCGTATTTGAAAGATATTTGAATCAAAAAGCATATTTGTATTTGTATTTATATTATATACTCTGTATTTTAAAATTCAAATCATAATTTTTGAATTCAAATCACGAATCAAATTAAAATTATTTGCTTTATTTACAACCCTGACTCTGTATGATACTTCTGATTTATTACAAATAGGCTTGGAATTTGTATACGTAAATGTATATATGGGGATTATGGGCTACACCATTATTAATAATTATTATAATGTTATCACTATTATTATTAATATTCTTATCAATATTATCACTATTATTTATCGAATATATTTGATTAACATTAATACACTGATATTCTTATTTGTATTTGATAACAATTCAAATCAAATTTAGTATTCTTATTTGTATTTGAATTAGAATTTTCGAATAGCCTTACACGAATTGAAGCATAAATTATTTGATTCATTTAGAACCCTCACTCATATACTCGTTGCTTGACTTGCATGGCTACAACATTGTTGAGGGTAAGTCCCGCAGATCCGAAAGCCCAACACGAACTTTGGATATATCAGGAATGGCCCATAATCAAAGTGTATAAGAAAATATAAGATCTGAACTAACTAAAACTCGAAAGCTCACTTGTATTAATTAACCAATCTGATTACAAGGGATTTCCCGATCGGTAAGTCGGAAACTATGCTTTAATACAAGAAATAAGAGCAAATGATGCTATTCTAGAGCTTGAGTATTGAAATGCTAACCCTTACAATGACTTGAAACCTTCTATTTATACTAATGGAGAGCATGGGCTGCCTCTTGCTGATTGGCCGTTGTTCCACCGACTTGGTCATCCATGCTTCCACTTGCTGATGTCATAATCTGACATTAACTGCACCTGGCCACTTGCTGGTTGGCCGTTGCTCGAACGGGATCTTGGTCCGTACTGAGGATGCTGTCAAATTGGCCCAAGTATAGTATATAGTCCGAACCTCGTTCGGTATGTCTTCTTATTGGGCCAACCTTTATTTGGGCCGAACCCCGTTCGGTATGTCTCCTTACTGGATCTTCTCATCATAGAGTGATGGCCTGTTACTTGGGCCGGATACCTTGGGCCTTCCCGATCTGGGTATTGGGCCTCTAGGTCAATATCCCAACACAAGTCCCCCACTTCCGATGTCTCGAACGAAGTGAGTGCATCAGGAAGTATACCAATGTCATAATACCCCGAATGGCGATCGGGGTACAGAAGTAATCAGTTCCCCATGCTGCGATTTGACAGCTGCCGCTTCATTTCCCCATATTCATCATGATAACCGTAGTTTAGTCTTTTCATTAGACGCGTGTCTAGCTTAAATGCCCCTAGTGATGTGTCGCTCTCTGATTGGTTCTCGACACGGCGGTTTCAAGGCTATAAATTAGCCCATAACTCCTCAATTCCGGGTTTCGACTCTGCAATTCCTTGGCCTTCGTTGTTTCTTCTGCAAATTTCCCCCTGCTTCCCTTGCTCAGGTAACTTCCCAACCTTGGATTTCCCATCTTCATTTCTGGCTTCGATCGAGATGAGCCCCACATAGCATTCTTCTGATTCGGAGATGGCCTCTCATGGAGATGACCGTGACACCACCATTGTAGATGCCATCCCAGTTCTGTTTGCCGGTGTTTCTACCGAGACGGAGACGAATACCAGGGCTGAGGCGGAGGACCTCCCTAGCACTTCTTCCTTCAGTGAGGATTCTGATGACACCAAATCCGAGGACGAAATAGCCTCCATGGCGGCCGGACGTCCCAACGATGTTCCTCGCCACACTCTTGACCTAAAATTGATTAGGGAGAGGAGGCAAAAATTGACCTCTCACAATAGGGCCGAAATTCCGGCCCTTATTCCTGACCCGGTGGATTTCCGTTTGCAAGCCGGGCTTCATCCAATGCGTCATAGGCCCGGAATGACCATAGTCCACTTTGACTCAATTAGGGCCGGCCTTAGATTACCGCTACACCCTTTCTTCATTTCTTTCTTCAATTTCTACGAAATTGTACCGGCCCAGATTATGCCGAACTCTTATCGAGCAATGGCGGGTTTCATTTGTCGTTGCAAAGATGCCGGCGCCCGACCAACCCTAGAACTCTTCCACCAGTTTTTCAAAGTAGCCCCCCAACAAACCCATGGCTATTTGGCCACTAGTGCCCGAACGGGATACATCCTGTTCAAAGGAAACCCAACTTCGATCAAAGGGTGGAAAGACTGGTTTTTCTTCGTGTCCATCCCGGACGGTCTGATTCCCCGCAAGTGGAATGCTTTTCCCCGCAAAACCCCTGATCCTGTCCTCACTGAAGAAATCTACAAGGACGTGCTTGCTGTGGAGAAGGATAAATGCATGGACATCATGAATTATCTGACCCCTGAACGTCTGATAACAGCCGGGATAGGTACTGCCCGTTCTCTTGGGTTTACTTGTTTTGATAAACCAAGTGCCTTGGTCCGGGCGGTCCTTCCCGTGCGAGAAACGTTCTTTCATTCTTTTTTTTTAGTTTCTCACACGCTAGGGCCGCTCGATACTAACATTGTTCTTTGCCTTTTTTCAGCACCCAACCCCGATCTTCCCATGGATGATAGCAGAGTCATCGCAGCCGGTGGGGGCGGAAAGCGGAAAAAATCCCGGAAGAACCCCCAACCTACTCCCACCATTGTTCCCGCTCAGGAGGCTGCCCCTTCCCAACCGCTCTCAGAACCTCAGCCAATTCAGCAGGTCCACCAGGATCAACTAGAGGCCATGCTGCTTGATGATCGGTTCGGTTCTGACCAACTGCACCAATTTTCCCAGCATTTCGACTCCGTTCGGGGGGAATCCTCGAATGCTGGTGAGACCCATACCGACCACATTACGGGTCAGGTCGAGCGGATCTCCCTATCCGACCCTGTTCATGAGGTTTTAGAGAGGGCTGGATCTACAGCGAGCCAGATCTGGTCTACCTCCTCCTGGTTCAACAACTTTTCCCTTCCTCAGTTGCCGGTCGAGCAATCTGAAGAATGTCTGGCCCTGACTGCTCTGAAGGTACATTGTCTTTTGTGCTTTGTCTTTATTTTATTCTCTGTAACCAGCACTAATTCTCGAACGGTATTCTGTAGATGGGCTTGTACACCCTTCAGATGCGGGAGGCCCGCCTGGCCAAAGAGCGGGAACTGATTGTTGCCCAGTCTTCTGCTGAGCAACATGCTGTTGCTGCCATCGCCTCTTTGGAGGCCGAACGGAAAACCTTCGCGGAGGAAAAGCAGAGGCTGGATGCTGAAGTCGGTACCCTTCGGGTCCAACTCGCAGCTTCCCAGGCGAAGATCCTTGCCGCTGAGGCCGCACGGGTCAGATTCGAAGTGTAACACCGCCCCCGAGTATTTGTACTGTACCAAATCATGTATTGAACCCTAAGATATGTATAAAAGCGTTTTTACGTGATTGTAAATTTTTATCGTTTCTTTTACGTGAATAGAAAAATTCACGTGGGGCCCACACCGGAGGTGGGGGCCGCCCGATATTATCGGGGCCACATATTATATTGATCTTGGACTAGATAATATGTATATGGTGGTGGATATCCTAATTGAGCCATGGCAATGGCATAGGGTTGACCGGTTGGTCAAACGGGGCCAAATTATCAGTATCGGCAATTTATTAGATAATAGCCCGAAAAGGGATTTTGGAGACTTCTAAATTAAAGTTGAGGAATGCATATTGATTCAAAGGTCCAATAAGGATTGGGAACAAGTATTATATTTTATTTGACCCGATAAAATAAAATATACTTAAAACAGTCCGGAAAATACAACTTTCGGGACCGATTGTACACGTGGGAACATAAAGGGATGACCTCCCACATGGGTGGGGGCCACCCCACGTTTTTTCCAGACTTGGTTGGTTAGAGGAGTGTGCAAATACTGACTTTGGATGAGAGAGCCGACCTAGGGGGAGGTTGAGACAAGAATTGACTCCAAGAGGACCCCCCACCCCTCATCATGGTCTAATGAGCCCAAAATAGACTCCCATCACCCCTTACAGCCATTCATTCGGTTTTTGCATCAACTGAGGTGATATAAGCTCTGCAACCACCTTATTCTTCACCCATTTTCGCACCAAGGCTAAGGAAGAAGAAGGGGAGGAATAGAGAAGAGAAAAGAGGAAGCTAGAGAGCAAAACTTGAGATTTTCAAGGTAAGGACTTCATTAATCCCATTCCTTTTCTTAAACTATCTTATATGATTATTCAATCATATTTCACACCCTAGGATTGTTCTACACGTTGGGATGTGTAGAAAGAGGGGTTGGAAGGTGGTTCTAAGTCCAAGAACGGACTTAGAAGCCAAAGTGACCGGTTCGCCGGAAAATAACCTTTTTGAGGTTATTTGTATTACTATGGGTTTTATGATGATAAAACCTTGTTAGTAACTTTTCTAAGGTATTCAAGGAACTTTCACGGAGTTGAAAAGGTCGCCGGAGTTGTCGCCGGAGTTCGTTGAAGTTCGCCGGAGTTTCGTCGGAGCTAAATCGGGGAGGCTAGAACTTCATAAGCTTCATTAAGGTGAGAAGACGGCTTTATGCTTTATAACTTTCGCGTGAGGCATGAGATTACCTAAAGTAATCAGGAATATGTTTTGTGGAATGATTAAAGATAACCAAGTGTGTGTTTATGCCATGATTATACACAAAACATAGTTAAAAAGCATGTTATGTAGGTTTGGTGATTAAAAATAAGATAACATATTTTGTGTGATGATCCAGGGATCCAAAATGGTATTTTTGGATCAAGGACATCAAGAAGTATATGTGTATGAAATTTCAAGTTAATCGGACTCCGTTTGGGGGGTCAAAAGGGGCGTTGACCGCCAAGTCAACTGCCATACCCGATCGGGTATTGACACATACCCGACCGGGTATTTGTTGAAAATCAGCTTTGTGGACTACTGTCTCCTGTACTCGACCGAGTATGGGTTAATACTCGATCGAGTATTGGGTTATGCTCAAAACGGGCAGTTTTGAGTAGGTTAACGTGGGCCGTTCGGGTGGGACCCGCCCACGTTGGATCCTAAGGATTGTTATATGACTATAGGGCTAGGAATTGTCCATAGTTAAAGGAATGAAAGGTTAGCCATATCCAGGTTAGGATTTGGTAGAGAATAGACTGGGGATTGAGTGCCCTTGGACGGTAAATGATCCAGAATACTCCAGGTGGGGTCGAGTACCCTTGGACGGTAAATGATCCAGAATACTCCAGGTGGGGTCGAGTACCCTTGGACGGTAAATGATCCAGAATACTCCAGGTGGGGTCGAGTACCCTTGGACGGTAAATGATCCAGAATACTCCAGGTGGGGCCGAGTACCCTTGGACGGTAAATGATCTTAAATACTCCAGGATGGGTTGAGTGCCTTGGACGGTAAATGATCCTAAAACACTCGGTAGTATGAATCGAAGGTAGACTATAGCTTGTGAGCTAGGTAACCGGGCAAGGAGTGAGAAAAGTCAGGCAAGAACTTTATCTCTAAAAGACTCTTTAAGGTAAATGACCTACGGGTTGAGTATTTTACAAGTATATATACAGTATGTATCATCGGGTGGATGAGGGACATCTATATGTATATATCACCCTATTTTTGGGTCTCGTGTCTGAAACATTAGTTATTCTTCATATAGCCTGCTTGTCACTAGTACTTCTATGGAGTACTGACCCCTCTGGGGGCCCTCACATTTTTCAGGTTGAGGCTAGAGTCCTACTACCTGCACCTTTGCCTAGGGTGACTGATCGAGAAGGAAGACGTGGTTCGTGCTTCCATTCTTATTTCAAATGTATAAACCGCTCATGGATTTTTGAACAATATTTTCATTAAAACAGTTGGGGGCCTGCGTGCCCGTGTTTGCCACGTGTGGCTAAGTATCAAACATTTTATTATTTTCCGCATTTGATTGATTATGATATTGATGTTGATTGTATGTGTTTACTAATCGGTTTGGCAATAGAATAAATCGACGCCTTGTACAACTCAATAGGGATGAAATGTTGTTGTTCTTATCGGGTTGTACGGCGGTTGTCTACGTGGCTCGGATGCGGTCCGGGGCGTGACAATTAAGTGGTATCAGAGCCATCGATTTCTAAACTATATAATTAACCTCTCAATATGATTACCCTCAAAAAGTTTTGAATAAAACCATGAGCAACAGTTTTTGTACTTAAGGAACCGTTGGAAACCAAGTTATTGACCTCTTATTGTTAAGACGGTACCCTTAACAGTTTGTTGGCCATAATGTTGGACCAAGTGGTGTCTTTTGTACTACTCCGTCAATTGACATTGAAACGAGTCTAATGACTCATTCCTTATTTCTTTCAGAAATGGAGGGTGGACGTAGGATAACTAGGAGGAACCCGACAGGGCATGTGCCGGGGGCCACCGGGCATGCCACTCGGGCGGAATCACGGACCTCTAGGGGTAGAGGCCGGGGCCAAAGCCGAGGAGGAGGCCGAGGCAGGGGTCGTGGGAGTTCTACCACGCCGACGACAAGTAGCACACGCGTCGGTTCCGTGCACCCGTCATGGGCCACCGAACCGGACGACTTCACCTATGCTCCAAGCACAGAGCAAGAGGAGACCCCGTACAACGGGGAGGACTTTGAGGAAGAAGATGAGGATGATGATCCTCATTATGACCGTATGAGTGAGGTACTAGAATGGTACCTCGAGAATAAGGCAAAGAGAGAACAGCGGCGCCAAGCTAGACAGGCTAGGCAGACCATGGGGCAAGGAAGCCGAGGTGCTTCTAGTGCTCCATCGGGGGCATTTGGAGGAGACACGATGGTGCGTACCTAATTTCTCCTGCTGTTTTCTCATTTTTCTTTCGAGCTTTCTCTCTCTAGAATTCCTTTGCATACTCTCAAGCCTTCTCTCTCTAGAATTCCCAAATTTCCTCCAGCGTTTTTATGTACTACTCCTCTAGCTCAGAATCTGAAGAGATGCCTTTGATCCGCAAAAGCAAAACATCCGCTGGTAACCAGGCCGAAGGCTCTTCGTCCCAAACACCCAAACCTGCCAATACTCAGGTCAGCAAACATACCGAACAGCCGCAGGAGGATGGATGTCTGTCGGGAGATGACCTCCAGGTTTACAACAAGGGGATGCCCGAGCAGCCACCCCGCATTCCCCTACATTTCAATCGCATACGCAAACACAAACAACGTCTCCCAGAAGATGTTGAACGGCAACTTAGCCAGTTGTTGCCCCCACCAAGAGAATACTATGCCGGATTCATTCGGCACCCTATGAGGCACAGACCGGGGCACGTGCTAGTGCACCTCGATACCGTGACTGGTGGACTTCGGTTCCCTCTCCACTCATTCATAGTGGAGTTCTTACGCCGGGTTGCTGTACTACCCGCTCAGTTCGTGCCCAGCACCTACCGTATTCTGACAGGCTTCATTATCCAGTGCCACGAGTTGAGGATCACCCCGAGCGTCGATCTATTCCTTTATCATTACTGCTATCAGCCCTACTGGACAACCGGGTACTTGAAGCTGGTAGCCCGTTCTGACCGTCAGCTGTTCACATAGAACGTTACCCCGCAGGCTGACTGGGAAGAGCGGTTTTTGTTCGTTCGAGTAGGTGATTCTTTGCCATTCCCGGACCGGTGGAACGCATATCCCGTCCGGGATTCCCTGCCCAGGGTGGATGCCGTTCTGCGCTCCCAGGCTGAGTCTCTGCGAATGGGAGGGACCAGAAGTCTTCGCAGCTTTGTCACTGCCTCGAGCATGTTATCTGCTGGAATTGGTAAGCATAGTAGGGTTTTAACCCGATCATCCTTCGCTCTCGCAATTCAACTTTCTTATTTTTTATTTCTCTTTCTTGTAGGTGTGATCTCTCCCATACCCGTCCGGCGTTCTATCTCCTCTGCTAAAGGGAAAGAGAAGATGATAGCCGATCGTGATTCGGCGGAGCAAACCCGAAAAAAGTGCAAAGGAAATGATGGCGATCACCTGATCCCGATCGACCATGTGGTTGACTTGACCGAGCCGGAGGTTGAGCCCAAAAGATCAGTACCTGCCAACAAACAAACTCCGGTTCTTACTGCCACACCGATCGATGATCGGATTTTTGTTGAGTTCTCAAATATGGGGCCCAGATCGGAAGGGAGGTATCTGTTCGGGTTGATGCCATCTTCTATGTGGTGTCATACTGCGATCAAAGTTCCCCCGAGCTTCACTAACTTGACTCACTGGTCGGACCTTTTCGAAGCAGGTCACCAGGAAGCACTCAAGGTACATTTCAGTCCGACCCATACCTTTCTATTACTCATGCTTTACCTTTTCTGACTTTCATTGCAACCTTGTTTTCAGGCTGGCGTGTACTATCACAAAGCCTTTCTTGCTGCTGAGAAGGAGATGAAAGCCCTGGCCAGTG